CTTTAAATGCAGCTTTGTATGCTAGGAAGTTTTCTGTTTCTTTTTCTTCCTTTTTTTCAGAAACCAATCAGGAACTTTTCTTTTAAGAAGTGAGCAGAAAAGATTCCTAAATAACAGAAAACTGCTTTCTAAGTTACCGTTAAGCTTAAGTAAAGCTTGAGAGAGTTCCTAAAACAGGATAGACAGGAAGTGATTTGAAACAGTTGGAGTGTCATCTATATAATTTATTGTAGATCAAGAAGGATTTATAGTTCCCTAGTTTCTGGATGAAAACTGGGTTACAGTAGACTAAAATGTGGATGGTAAATTTGTGGCTCTGTGAATATTCACACAACACAACCCATAATGAACCTTGTTATTTGCATAGCACACAGACCCATAAATGAACTGACTTTATTTTAGGTTACCAAATGTGAATTCAGTCATTTCAATAAACTATAGTTAAGTTAGCCATGGGTTAGCTTATTGTGTAAACACAAACTGTTAAAGTGCTTTTCCCTTCTGTTGCTTTGGTTGATGAAAACCATGATGGCCTTTTTCTGCAAAATGATAGTCTAGACAAATTAATGGTCTAAGTACTCAGATGGCCCAGCATTTTAATTTTTATTGTATGCTCATCTGCCAGTTTTTCATCCTTGGCAATTTTAAGATGTGTGGACTTCAACTCTCATAGTTCTCCAGCTAGCTTGACAAACATCTCACTAACCAAATTGCCTGTTGATGGACAAATCACTCCGTTTTCTGAACAAAATCCTTTCAGCCAGTTGTTTTTTATTTGTTTGTTTGTTTAAATAGATCAGCTTTCTTTCCCAGCCTTTCCAAAGAATGGGAAAGCACTCAGGATTTTATGCTACAGCCCATACTGGCTGATGATGAATCCTGAGAGCTGAAGCCTTAAAGTGGCTATGACGTTAACCTGAATTTGTAAACTAACTCAGAGGAATTGACCTGACTTCCTAGTGAACCTTTAACAACAGTAATGTGCAAAAATTGGCAAGTAAAGCTGGGAGAAAAGAGAGATCAACACTTGCTAATGACAGCAAATGAAGCTGCTCTTAATGGTCTGGAACAACTATTGGGGAGATAAAAGGGGGGAAAATGAAAGCTTAGCTCTGTTCCTTCAGTGGCAGATTTCATGGTCCACTCTCCACCCCAGCTTCCTGTAATTAGCAGGATTTTCATGCTGCCTCTCAGCAGAGAGAAGAAGAAGAGGGGTTTGCAGAGCAAGAGTGCCCAGCCTGGTTGAAACTGTAGCTGGAAGATTCTTCTTTTGCAAAGACTGATTTTAGAGGTATAAATACAGTCTCCCTCCCTCCCCCCCCCCCCCGTTGAGTGGGAATCTGGCTATTTGGAAGTGGCAGCTCTCTAGCCGGGCTCACAGGACACGCCGAGCTAAAACCAGGTTTCACTTTTTATGTTTTAGTGTGTTGGGTGAACCAGGAAATGTGGTTTGCAAAACAGGTTTATACTTTAGAACAAAGGTGGGCAGCCTTTTTGTGGCTGGGGCTGTAATGGGTGAGGTGAGAAGTACAGTAGCTGGAATCTGGATTACATTATACCTTTTTAGTCTCTCTCTCTGTGTCTGTGTATTATTTACCGGTACTTCCCACCTCAGAATGGGAGAGAGATGTGATGTGTATTTCTGGCAACTGCAGTCAGTTGTGACTAATGGGGCTACTAGGGAGGGTTGTGGGGGTCTGTATAAGTCTTGGGATCTCAAGGTTACCCATTCCTGATTTAATGTGTTAGCTGCAGACATGTCTAGGGAGATAAAGAAATTGGAGGGGGGGGAGCTTTCCTGCTTTATATTTTTGTTTTCTTTCCTAATGGATTATGAAATGTTGCATGATTGTTTTTAAAATAAATGTTCCTATGTTACCTCCTAATGTTTACCCCCAAATGATTTATGAAAACTATATAGTAAAACTTTATGTAAGACTAATTACATTATCACATAGTACAATTATATTAGAGAGTATAACTCTGAAATACCAAATGTTAGAGGCATTGACATTTATTTTTACAGGAGAAGGAAGGGCTCAGCCTATCTTTGATAATGGGCTTCCTTCCTCTTATTGATGTAGAGATTGCTGGATTGTGGCCTGTCCTTCACTAGTCCTCAAAACCCTGGGAATGGGGTAAACATTGGCAGTAGCATCCATTTATCTATACTTGTAAAGGGTGCTAAACATAAGCACTTCGTATGTTCAAATTCCCTTTTGCTCACCTCCCAAAAAATGGAATTGTTTTCTAGGAGTTTTATTTTTCAACATTTGTGGAAAGTTTATATCCTTGGTTGGCTAAATGTGCATAATAGTAACTGATTTAGTAAACCAGGGTTAAGCAAGCCTTTATGTATAATATGTGAATGTATCTTGTGCTTGCTTTATTGTACATTCTTTCTCTTAACTCTGTAATTTGCTCTGAATAGATATGAGTGAAGACAAAACTGTCTGCATTTGAAATGCAGCTCGGCCTTTAATTATCAGAGATTGGGATCACTGGACTAAAATGTGGCTAGATATTTTGGCTTAAAATGTATGAGCCTAGTCGCTGTGGTTTATTTATGGATCACTATATTGCTCAAACTAAGTTTGGTTGATTAGTAAATCATGGCTTCGCCAGATCGTCCCTTGATCACCCAAGGCTTTGTACTACTCTCAGATTTGTACATTAAGACACTGTTTAGCACTAATTTGTTGAATAAACCACAATAGGCTGGGTTCTCACCACATACTAAGCTATCTAGACCGAACTATATTTTGGTCTAGCACAGGGGTAGGCAACCTTGGCTCTTTTATGACTCGTGGACTTCAACTCCCAGAATTCCTGAGCCAGCATAGCTCAGCTTGGAAACTCTCCCTTTCCCCTCAGCAGGGCTGGCTCAGGAATTCTGGGAGTTGAAGTCCACGAGTCATAAAAGAGCCAAGGTTGCCTACCCCTGGTCTAGCATGTTGTCTACAAACTCATGTTCATGAAGGAAGAATTATCTGCATGGGATATAGACAGAGATGGGAGAGCTGTTTTGGACTCAAAATTCCCTTGACAAGTTTGGGATGGAATTCAGTTATTAGCAGAAAAGAAAGGTTCTTGAAAGATCAATTTCAAGAAATTTATGCCAAGCCAAGTAGAGAATTTGGGGAAAGAAATGGACTCTAGCACAGGGCTTTTCAACCTTTTCACCCACTGTACCACTTTTAGGATATGACAATATCCTAGTACCACCAGTCGCCTAGCAAGGTGTCAAAAACTTGATGACCCAAAAAAAGGAAAAAAGTGATGAAGTACAGGTAGTCCTCGATTTACAACAGTTCGCTTAGTGACTGTTCAAAGTTACAATAGCACTGAAAAAAGTGCCCCCCAAGCCACAGCCGAGCAAGACACCTGCCTGCCCACCCGGCAGCGCTCTTTCTCCTGCCCAAGGTTTTCATTGTTGTGAGCATTTCTGTTGAGGATTGGCAGCGGGGGTGGGGTGAGGGTGTTTGGTTTTTATTCCTCCCATCTACTGGGTGGTTGCAGCAGGTTTTGGTCACTTCACATGTCCCTGGGACACTGTAACCATCATAAATAGGAATCAGTTGCCAAGGATCTGAATAAAAAACACAAGACCCTGGAGATGCTGCAACATTCCAGGTGATTGGTGCTTCTTCAGGGTTCAGCAGAAGGGCCAGGATCAGGGCCGAGCTCCAGCTGGAGCCTGGCGCTGATCCTGGTACTTCCACTGAGCCCTGACAGTCCCGAAGAAGTGCTGATCCTGGTGCTTCCGCTGAACCCTGACAGTCCCGAACAAGCGTTGATCCTGGTGCTTCCGCTGAGCCCTGACAGCCCTGCAGTTCCAGCCATCTCTTGCTCAGGCTTGTGCAGTGCTGCCACCGGTTCAGCTCATTCCCTTCCCCCACTACCACTTTTCTAGGATGGTTGCGTACCACCTGCCAGGTGCCAATGTACCACAGGTGGTACCCGTACCACTGGTTGAAAAGTCTTGCTCTAGCAGTCCTGATCCAATCTAGAACAAAATGATAGGATGGGCTGGTAATGGTATCTTCTGCTTATGCCTAAATCCACCAGATTTGAAAACTAGCAAAGCAAGGAGCACAGTAGGTTAATCTTTTTATATACCACCTTTTAAGTTTAGGGACTTTAAAAAAAATGTATGGGGATCCACTGATATAATATTTTCCAAGTATAAACTTGTCCAGTTTATCACTTCAGGATGTTATTGCATTTATGCAATAGGCTTTACAGCAAAGTTCTGAGAGACTTTCTAAAAAGGGAAAACATCAACTTCATCCATGATATTTTGAGGGGGATGGGGAAAGCAAAACTTGTTCAGCCAGGGGAATTAGTCCCTAATATTCACCAGCCTTTCTCGCATAGGCATATCATGGTTTTTATTAGCACATCTTCAGTCAAGAAAAAGAGAGATGTCCCTTTGTGACCACCTGGAGGCTTTTCTCTTATCACTGTCAAGAAAGCAAGCAGCTATTCACAGAGAAAGCTTAACCTGCTTACTTCGGCATGGCCAGTGGCTTTAAAAGCACTACAAGTCTGCAGGGAGAAAGAAAAATACTGCAGATATGAGGGATGGTGACCTAGGCCTTATCTTGTGGGGGGAAACAAACTAATGTTTTTGTGGTGCTCTGTTCTCTACCCAATTCTGTAACAACTGGATTTGTGCAGAACATTGGGCTATAACACAGGTAATTCAGAGTCAAGTCTGAAGTAATCCTAGTAAAAATTGGGTTAAGTCCATGAACCATGGCTCAGTTAACGATGGATAAACATGTCTCAGAAATATATACTGCAGATCTCTCATCTCCCCTCTGCCCCAATTGGCTGAGTTTGCAAAGAGCATTCAACATATAGCAACCAGTTAGCATAGCCTGTTGAGTAAGCCAACCCACCATGAGGATCTGTGTAGACTTTATCTCAAGCTTCCTGGTAGAGAAGAAGGTGAGGTTGGTCCCTCCTGTTAGCCATATATTTTCTCACCTTTATAGGAACCTGGCTGGAGAGTAGGTCAACAGCAAGTGCCCAGGGGCCTCTAGGTAAGTGCAAGATTGATCTGCTCTCTTCAGAAGGCCCCAGGGCCTCCCAGCTAAAGCTGCTCTGTCGAATAACTTAGACTAGAACTAACAGCGGCTTGTTGATCCTTCAGATGTCCTTCGTGCTCCAGTTGTAAATGTACTCAAGGTATGGCTTTCAGTTAAGATTCCTTTCATTTTCATCCTGAGTTTGGTTTGGTTTTTCTGACTGAGAAAACAAGAGGTTTGAGCCGTGCAACCAGCTATGCAATGCGGCCTTTTGAGAGGCCTTTTCTGAAGCACTAGTGAGATTTAATGGGCAGTGACGCCCGGAAGTCGTTAGAGAGGCCAATGGCAGAGTCTCTTTTCCACTCAGGGTCTGTTTGGATCCAATAGGTTAAAGAAGCATGAGCAGGGGTCTTCAAACTCGACCCTTTTATGACTTGTGGGCATCAACTCCCAGAATTCTTTAGCCAGGCATGCCTGGCTGAGGAATTCTGGGAGTTGAAGTCCACAAGTCATAAAAGGGCCAAGTTTGAAGACCCCTGGGCATGAGAAAGGAAAGGCACAGTCTCTCTTTAAGACTCAAAATTGGCTACTGTGACCGAAAGGGGGAGGGGGGTTGTTTTCTTCCTCGTATTTTTGCTCCTGAAAACGCACCTTCTCCCACTCCAAAAACCTCAGCCTGGGTTGATGAGGTGAGATCAGAAGTAGAATGTAATAGTTCTAGAACAGGGGTGTCCAACTTCGGCAATTTTAAAAACTAATGGACTTCCAACTCTCAGAATTCCCCAACCATCATGGCTGGCTAGGGAATTCTGGGAATTGAAGTCCGCAGATCTTAAAGTTGCCAAGGTTGGACACCTCCATTGTAGAACAAACCCGGTTGGACAAAAGATGAAAATGGGAATGCTGTTGAAAATCACCCCAAATTTCTCCCACGTAGGCGTGTGTCACGGGAGAAAAGAAATGCCTTCAACCTCTCTGAAATACCCTCCCTGTTTTTCTTTCTTTCTGCCCCAGTGGTTCTCAACCTGTGGGTCGGGACCCCATTTGGGGTTGAACAACCATTTCACGGGGGTCGCCATTTTTTTCCCTCCTTTTCCTTAGCTGTGCTACTCCCTTTTATTCTATTGGCTTTTGAAAGCCAATAGAACAGACTATCTTGAATAGAGTCTAATTCTATTGGCTTTCAAAAGCCAATAGGAATTGTCCAGGCTGTCTCTGCCCTGCTGAGCCTGCCAAAAGTCCCATTCTGCAAACGGTGCTGCACCAGTTGAGTAGTCCTCGACTTACAACCGGTTGAATAGTCCTCGACTTACGACCGGTTGGGGGTTGCGGCATTAAAAAGGTTGAGAACCACTGTTCTACCCTCTCTCCCTTTCTTTGTGGACACTGGAGGAGGAGAGCCTATAAATGTTAGGAGGAGTCTTGTGGCACCTTTTCTGACTGAACACATTTCATTAAAAGGCATAAGCTTTGTGAGTCGTAGTTCATGCTTTTTAATCACATTCATTATTCAGAAAAGATGCTACCAAGCTCCTCCTGATTCCCCCCCCCCCTCCTTTCTTTGCAAACCTTTCTATTTTTCAGGTAGATTTTATGGATTTTGGTTTATTTTATTTTTATAGAAATTCTATATCTTTAATTGACAAAACCCCATGGAGAAAAGTTTTCTGGACGTAGAATGGAAAAGTGCAGGTGGTTCTCGACTTACGACCACAACTGAGCCCAATTTATGTTGCTAAGTGAGACATTTGTTAAGTGAGTTTTTCCCCATTTTACGACCTTTCTGGCCACCGTTGTTAAGCTAGTAATCTGGCTTCCTCATTGACTTTGCTTGACAGAAGATCACAAAAAGTTACCACATGACCCCAGGACACTGCAACCGTTATAAATATGAATCAGTTGCCAAGCATCTGAATTTTGATCATGTCACCATGGGGATGCTGCAGCGGTTATGTGAAAATGGTCATTTTTTTCAGTGTCATTGTAACTTTGCACGGTCACTAAATGAACTGTTGAGGACTATCTATACCTCATCCCTGATTTTCTACTTTATGCTGCTGTTTCAGAGTAGATTAGATGGGGGGAGGATAGTGGGAAGGTGGCCTTAGGGCACCTGCTTTTTTTCTTTGCCTTATTTCTTGTAATTTTTTTTTCTGCTTGTTCTCCTTAAAAGTGTCAACGCTCTATAAAGTATGAAGAGAGCCCCCCTATAGTGAAGGAAACATGGCAGATAAGAGGAAGCTACAAGGTAAGCTCTGTGGCTGGGCCAGGCGCCTGGTTCTCTTTAACAGAAGAGCAGAGGGTCTGTTCACCTAGGCTTGGCGCAGAAGAAAGAGGAGGACATAAAATTGAGCAAAGGGCAAACAGGATTCTTACTTTTGTAGCTTCGAATACCTGGCACAGGATGCCGCAGTTTATGGAATTGGATTAGGGAAGGGTGAAAAGAGTGAAGTTTTTGGTTGGTTTAGGAAACCAATAAAATGGGGGCAAAGGTGTTGGTATTTGGGAAGAAGGAGAAACAGGCAGCGTTTCAAAATTCCGATTGTCTTTCTTCCCATTTTAGGTTCCAGGGAACATATGAACCTTTTAGTTTCTGTGATTGCTTTCAACTAATTTATCTTTTGCCCCCCATTCTTGCAGGTGAGATCGATCGGTGTCTCAAAAAGGTATCGGAAGGTGTGGAACAGTTTGAAGATATCTGGCAGAAGGTGAGGGCTGCTGTCATCTCTCTGCCTGGGTTCTGTCCAAACTCCTTGATTATTTATTTATTTATGAGACTTCACCCCATGTAGTTTCTTATCCTAAATTTATTTTTGGGAGGGGGGGGCAGAGAGAGGAGGGAAGAAGTCCACTTGGCTCCTGCTTTTCCTTTATCCAGTTTGATTTTGCCCTCCTCCTCTTCCATCACATCTTGGGGGTTTCTCTCTCTCTCTCTCTCTCTCTTTCTCTGCTACAGCTCCATAATGCAGCGAATGCCAATCAGAAGGAGAAATATGAAGCTGATCTGAAAAAGGAGATTAAGAAGCTCCAGGTAAGAATGAGCCAGCTTCAGTATTCTTTGACATCCAGTCTCAGAAGATTAGTTATGGAGACTAGCCTGAAATCCAGGAAAGGCAGATGGGAAGTGTAGATAAAAGGAGGGGGTACGGAGTTGTCAAGTTGCAATGCAGTGTTTCCATTCCTCTCCAGAGACTGAATCAGTCTCAGTTTGTCAAAGTCACTTATTGTCAAGTGCCCGGGAAATCAGGGGATCCAGGCAGTTCAAATGGGTATAAAAATTTATTCCAAGCTTAAGCTCTCTACAAAAATCTGAACTATGGTAGTTCACAGGAATTCAAGGTGAGCTTAGATCTCTTGTGAGCAAGAAGGGATTCATGACCGATGACATATTTGACCCCTCCCTCAAGCTCAGCCTGGTCCTCTCCTACAGGTCTAGAGGTTTCCAATTGACAATTCCCATCGTTCTCCACTATTATTATTTAACTCAGAAGGGCTAATAATAAAAATTCAGATAAATAATCAAAGTTCAGGGAATCATTCAGTTGAAATCATCACTCCCTACATTTTTCACGAAAAACAACTATGTTGGAAAAAGCAGAATCTTGTGTGAGGAGAGAAAAGAAAAGGTAGCAAGCTATGTTTTGAGCTGCTGATTGCTTGGCTTCTAAATAGACAACAGTGAAATCCACTAGTTTACAGGTAGTCCTTGACTTACAATCATTCATGCTGAAGTTACAGCAGCACTGAAAAAAAAAGGACTTAATAATCGGTCTTTTTACTTACGACTATTGCAGCATTCCCACAGGCGCATGATCATGAAAATGTGGACATTTGGTAATTGGCATGCATTTACGACAGTTGCCGTGTCCAGGGTCACATGATTGCTATTTGTGATCTTCCCAGCCAACTTCCAATAGGCCAAATCAGTGGGGGAAGCTGGATTCACCTAACAGCCCTGTGAGTCAGTGAACTGCACTGATTTGCTTAACAACCGTGGTGGAAAAGATCGTAAAAGTGAGCATGATTCATTTAACAACTGCCTCACTTACTTGTTGGTTAGAAATTCTGTCCCAATTGTGGTCATAGGTCAACTACAGGTGGTCCTCGACTTACAACAGTTCATTTAGTGACTGTTGGAAGTAACAGTGGCACTGAAAAAAGTGATTTATGACCGTTGCAGCATCCCCATGATGACATGATCAAAATTCAGATGCTTGGCAACTGGCTCGTATTTACGACGGTCGCAGTGTCCCAGTATCATGTGATCCCCCTTTTGCGTCCTTCTGACAAGCAAAGTCAGTGAGGAAGGCCAGGTTCACTTCACAACTGTGCTACTAACTTAACAACTGCAGTGATTCCTTAATGACTGCAGCAAGGAAGGTCGTAAAATGAGGCAAAATTCACAACAAATGCCTCACTTAGCAACATAAATTTTGGGCTCAATTGTGATCGTAAGTTGGGAATTATCTGTACCTGTATAGCATAGAGGTATAGAAATGAGTCCATACTCATTCTTTATGTTTGACCATTGCTGTAATCACAAACTTTCCCTAACCTGGTGACACCCAGAAGTATTGATTTTTGTATAATTACTAAATACCATGAAGGTTGGCTGGCTGTGGATTATGGAATTCGAATTTGATATGTCTAGAAGGCATCAAGTTGGGTAAAGGCTGTTCTAAAAAGTTTCACTATTATGAGTGTTACTCTAGGGCTAGTTTATGCTGAAAAGATCTACTAATAAAAAGAACTAATTTGATCATAGAACCATTTTTCTCTTTCTGCAGAGATTGAGGGACCAGATCAAGACATGGGTTGCATCCAATGAGATTAAAGACAAAAGGCAGCTAATAGACAACCGGAAACTCATTGAGACGGTAAAAATCAAACTGAGAGAAAAGAATCTATTAACCATTATGTGTCAATGCCAAGCAAAATTTCAGGTGAAATTGATGTTTTTCAAGGAAACTGTGATTTTGGAGAACTAAATGAACCAGGTTAATTTTGCCCACTTTTAGGCTAGTTCTTACCAGCTCAGTCAGCTTTGGCACTTAAGACTTCTTGATATTTTTATGCTTAGCTCCTCCTTAACAGTGTTACCATTGGCTGCTAGCAGTGTGACCTCATAAAGGTGAGCCACCTGGCCATCTCACTTGTTACTTAAGCTGAGTAAGTGACAGAAAGGGGTTCTGTGGGGAGCCCAGGATCTTTTCTACACAACCTTCTTCAGAGTGACAACATGGGATAGACGGTAAGACCTTCTTAGTTTAAGGATTTAACTGGTAGTGCTTATGGAAAGTCTTCTAAACTTTGAAATTGGAGGTTTTGAAATAAGGGACTTTGCAAGGATCAAGCTGTATCTTGTATTTCCTAGGCAACCTGAATCTGTAGACATTTTATACATTTTCTTTTTGGAGGGGGGAAGGCACTCCTACAAACCTTCCTGTTGTATTTTTCTAGCGTCAAATCCAAGCACTGTGATTAAAAAGCACTTGTGGTTGGCGATGATTAGTATCTATGGGGACAAAAATGCGTATTTGCTGCATTGTTCATGATTGGGGGTTCTCTGTGTTACATGGTTCATTATTCAGTTTGTGATTGAAAATGCCTTTGTGTGCCTCACTTGTGTATATATATCACCAGTGTCAGTATTCTATAGAATCAGTTAAATATAAAATATTAATTTAAAAAAAGCGTTTGAATTAGACAATCCATTCCCTATTGGGGAATTGTTTCTGATATAGTTCCTTTCCTAAATGGAGAAGCAGAAAGACTATGAGCAGACAAAAAAGCTATGGGAGCAGGACGACTTCTGACTTCTTGCTCACTTTCCCATTGAGTTTGTGGGAATTTGGCAGGGAGCATCAGAAATCTTCCTTTCTTCTCTCCCTTCTCTGCTGCTCCTGGTTGGGAGAAGGAGCAAGGGATTGTGAGACTGGCTGGGAAACTGTCATGAAACGTGAAAAATATTGATCATTTGAGTATAGCAGCAGCCACAGTTTTCCCAAATTTCATTCCCTCAGGAGTCATGGGTCCCAGATTTTGCATACATTCTGTAAATTAGCCTATTTGAGGTACTTTGGTTCAAAAATTGATGCAATATGATGCATCGTTTTGACTAATTAAAAGACACAACAGTGAGAGTATTAGTAGCATCTAGGTGGGCCTAGCAAAACTATTTTTTGATACTTTGAATTAGGACAAAAATTAGTCTCGCTGTAATAGCACCATGTTAATGAGATTCACTATAGTTTGGGTTGGCCTGCTTATTTAAATAACTCAGCATTGTAGACAAAACAGGCTTATGAATTTTGGTAAGGAAGTTACCACAACAGTTCAGGAGCCAGGATTTCTGGATAGGAAGAAACAGAGTGACTCCCTATGATTAGAAGACTAAGATACTGGTGGTAGAATTTGTCTCTGGACAAGATTTCTCAGCAGGATTCCCTTGTTTTTTTAGAGCCAACTTTCATCACCTCCAAGCAATATCAGGTTAAGGATGGTTTTGAAACCTAGTCTATGTGTGGCAGTCAAATAGAATATTAGAATTGAAAGTGAAATTACCTTCTAAGATGCAGATAAGGAAAAGCCATTTTACATTGTCTGAGATCTCCCACTTGTTTTAATCTGCTCTGCACACATCCTAATTGCTGCTTCTCTTTTTGCAGCATTCAGCTTCTCTTCAGAGCTGGTCAGGAATCTCTCCAACTAATAGGAGACTGCAGAAATCCACATCCAGTTAATCCTCTGTGTGTTCCCCCCCCCCACATCCTAACGTTTCTTCCCACCTGCCCAGTGATTTTCAACCAACCAGACTGGTCACCATGGTGGGGGGGGGTATTTATTTGCAAAAGAGAAAATGAAAGGAGAGCTTAGTAGTACCTTGGTGGCTTAAACTTTCCTGAGGATGTAGAATTTATGGGAGATGCAACCACCAGATCAGACTCCAGAATTCATTCTGCAAATTCATTCATTCTGTCTTTGGTGGTGACCTTGCTTATCCTGAAGCAGAGCCAGAAGTTAATCGCAATAGAAGGAAATATCTGTAGGTCAGGGTTGAACTGTGGGGTCCTTGGTGCTCTCTGAGCTTGGTTGTTTGCTTGTTTACAGATGTTTCAGTACAACTTGGTAACAACAGTGTTGATGTTACCTAGATGGGCAGTGAAATGTCTGCAGGCAAACAACCAAGCTCAAAGAGCACCAAGGAGTCCATATAAATTAATTGGTTCTGCTGCCCCAGGACAAACAGTGGCGTTTTATATGTTTGCACAACTTCTGAAAGTTTGAAAGTGGCACAGATATCACACATGGAGGAGCCCTATGATTTGACCGTAAGCATTCTGGGTTTTCTCACCCTACTTTCAGATCAAAAATTGTGGTTGAAGTTACGTTCATCAGAGCACTTAATTTTTCAGTTTTTTGCAGTGCAGACATGCATTTCAGTGGAAAATCCCTGCTAGGAGCTGGATTCTGAGCCCTCCTGGGAGCTGTTTCCTGCTTTGCATTAACTCACTGAGACTTGTAACCTCTTTTTCCAGCAAATGGAGCGGTTCAAGGTAGTGGAACGTGAGACCAAGACAAAAGCCTACTCCAAAGAGGGGCTGGGCCTCGCCCAGAAAGTGGACCCAGCCCAGAAGGAGAAAGAGGAAGTTGGGCAGTGGCTGACGGTGAGAACCGGGGGGGGGGGAGTTGGCTGGATTGGACGGCAAAGCAGCTTCTGGAGAAATTGGGGAGCAGAACTAATTTCCCCAACCTTAAATTCAAAATATAATGGGTCCATATTAGAAATTACTCTTGTGATTTATCAGAGGTTACTAGGTAGGGCAAAGAGCATCCTGGAACTCTGTAATTGTGCTGTGGTTGATGGTCTTAAGGTCTAAAAGAGCCCTTTCCCTCATCCCCACCTCTGAGGTTAAAGAAAGAACCTGGAATGTTTGTCTCCCAAGAAGTAGACCCTTGTGGATATTTTGCTTGTTTGGTGGCAAAAAGTCTCATGACAACCTGAAAAGAAATTCTCTTGCCTGAATAAGGAAGAAGTTCTGGTGATGATGACCTTTGGCTAAACAGTTGCATAATGAGAAGAAGGCAGTCATAGCTTTGAACTCATTGAATGCAGAACAGAGGTTGAAGCTGGCCATAGAATCATAGTGCTGGAAAGGATCCTAGAGGTCCATCTGGATCTGTTTTCTCCTCTGAGCCCAGAGGCAGTTTCTTCAACTCAGTTCATATCAGTTGTCAGTGACCAAAGACATGTAATTTGGGGAATAGGTTTGGGATTCCATGCTGTTGAAAAATGGCAGTTTGTTAACAGAAGTTGGGCACCTCCTTCTCTTGGCCCACTGATCCTTTTATAAAAGAAAAGAAAAGAAATTGCATCGATTAGGAAAAGTAATAATTTGAATTACAATCTGGCCTGGTTTTCCCAACAGCTAAAAAGCAATTTACAAAAGCTGGTTTCTGTTCAGGTTTGGAAATTGAAAAAATGGAAATGTTTGACCGTGAAGGTGGTGACCAACAGGATTTACCTTTGTGTTAGGCGTTTGAGTGTGCTCCAGACAAATGATAGTGCCAGTCAAGCACAAGTTTGTGTAAATCCTTCCTCAAATTGCAGGAAAAACAAGCTCAAGTGGCACTTGGGTGCAACCTTTGTGCACACATGTGCACAGTTACTTATTTATTTTTATATTGCACAACACAATCATGACCTTAACAGTTTACAACACTTAATGGAGCAAAGGAAATAAAAATAGTGTCAGAAGGAATGAACATGCAACAAGGACTGATATTGACAAGACCAGCATCTCCAGTTAATGTTAATATTGGATCCTTCTGGCTATAGACAGTGGAAAGACACCAGTTAGGAAGAGCTGCAAGATCCATTGGCCAAGTGGTAGTTTATAGCTCTGCGATTCTGGCATTGGCAAGCTAATTAATGCACATAGTTTTTTTAAGAATACCTTCACAAACAACTGTTTAGGGAGCTGGCTGCTTTTAGTAATACCTAATTGTCACCATCTGTGCTTTCTTTATTACATAGTTAAAGGAGAAAGAGAAACACTGAGATCAGTAGAAAATTAAATGAAGAAAACATAAAGTACCTCCCACACACACACATACATACCTATATATATACAAGTAGAAATGGTAGAATACAAAAGACCAAAAATAAAAAATCTGTCACTGGTATTCAAAACAGCCCAGTGCCCTGCAGAAGCCTCATCAGGAAACAGCCTCTGCCATTCAAGATAGCATTTCATTAGATCTGTTGGCCCAAAAAATGTTATTCTTAAAATAAATTGGATGGTCTTTTTAAGGAGCCACCAGAGACTTTCTATTATACAAATGTGTGCTATATGCTATTATTGTGTATTAGATTACCCAGCAAATGATATTGATAAAACATCTTTTAGAAAATAGACCATAGGTAGGAAGTTAGTACAATTGCAATTCTGAAGAAAGTGAAACTTCCAGCTGGCACACAAGGTATTTCACCTTATGAACTCAATCTTTCAGAGATCTCCCAGAATTTCTGGGAGTTTCTGTTGGAAATCCCAGGCTGTAGATTATTTTTTTCCCATTGTGGTTGGCAGTGATCTGCTTCATTAACAAGGTTATTTGTATGTCTCCTTAGTTCTTACTACTACCCTAGTTACTGCTTTTTCCTGCATAGCTAAATAGCTTTGTATGTTTGCCCTGTCACTGTCTGACTGGATAATGATCTGTCTGCTACCTCTCTCCACCCTCCCTCCCTCCCAGAATACAATAGACACCTTGAACATGCAGGTGGATCAATTTGAGAGCGAAGTGGAGTCGCTCTCGGTCCAGACGCGCAAGAAGAAAGGAGACAAGGATGTGAGTTGATGAAATGCCTCTTTAGAAGGCTGTGCATAGGATGCATTGGGGGTTAATGAATAGAGTAGTTCTGTGGCTTCATATATTAAGATGTTCTGGTGTTGAAAATCCAGGCATTTGAAGGTTTGTCAAACCCTTCATTGATTAGATCCAATCCTTCCTTTTGTTCAGGAGCTTAAGGCAGCGTATTGGGTACTTCTATTTTTTCCCCACAGCAACAGCCCTATGTGGTGAGCTGGGCCGAAGAGAGAGAGTAACTGGCCCAGAATACTCGAAGGAACTTCCATGGCTGAGGATGGATTAGAAACTGGGTCTCATTGGAATCAGTCCAATATGGGAGACAGGTTAACTCAATGATGATTTGACAGTCACTTGCATTGCAAGTTTCATGTCCGAGCTGGACTTAGCATTTCAGAACAGATCCGAAATTGGCAATTATTTCAGAGGCATGTTTTACCTGTCTTTTTTTTTCTTTTCAAAAAAGCTTGAGCAGTCAATAACGTTTGTTGTGCTCTCCAAAGATTGGAGAGATAGGATTCCCCTTCCAGGAGTTTTGCAGCACCAATGCATTTGGAGGGCCCAAGGCTGGGAAATGATGCATTATAAAAATGTGCACATACATATATCCCAATCCAAAGACGAGGAATTCACTGTCAGAACTCAACAAGCCACATTCTGACTTAGCCCAGCGTTTCTCATCCTTGGCAACTTTTAAGATACATGGACTTCAACTCCCAGAATTCCCAGCCAGCATTTTAAGTTGCCAAGGTTGAGAAACGCTGGCTTAGTGTGTGCTCTCTGTTCTTCCCACGGAAACAGAAGCAAGACCGGATCGAGGGCCTGAAGCGGCATATTGAGAAGCATCGGTACCACATCCGGATGCTGGAGACAATCCTGCGTATGCTGGACAACGACTCTATCAACGTGGACTCTATCCGCAAAATCAAGGACGATGTGGAGTATTACGTCGATTCTTCGCAGGACCCCGATTTTGAGGAGAATGAGTTTCTCTACGATGACCTCGACTTAGAAGACATTCGTAAGTGTTACCTCTGGGTGGACAGTTGTGCGGGAGATTAGAGCTGAAGTGGTTGCCATAAAATCAGCATCACTTCCCTCCCCTGAAAACTCAAGACCTTGTCAAAGTAAAGGCAGCCTTTAGAGCTCCTTCAGAGCTCCCTGTATTTCTCTCAATGTTCCTGGCAGATTCTCTTTGAATTCTTGAACGGCAGTCATGACTATACATTCACATTCCATTCCAATGGCTGTTAAACAAAACGGTCACTAAGGGAAAGCTTAGATGCTACAAATATCACTGTTTGCTGTCATCTCTTTCAGATAAAATTCTCTGAACAGTGTTGTGTGTCTGACCTGTTTTTCCCCGTTTTTTTGCCTCCTCACAGAACAGAGAGAGAGCTGAAACAAGTGATTTCTTGCTGAGCTCCCTTTGTCCCCAGCCCAGTGTTTCCCTGAAACAGGGGTCTTCAAACTTGGCCCTTTTATGACTTGTGGACTTCAACTCCCAGAATTCCTCAGCCAGACACGGTGTCTGAGGAATTCTGGGAGTTGGAAGTCCACAAGTCATAAAAGGGCCAAGTTTGAAGACCCCTGCCCTAAAACATGCTAACTGCAACACTAACCAGCTCAGTTCTGTGATCTTAATTAGCTGATTAGAACCTAAAACTGACCAAATCTTAATCAGTTTCACACTGATGGCTTTTGTTGTTAGGCACACCGGTGGGAAAATGTATTTTTAAGACTGTTTATTACTATTGTATTTGCAAATAGTCGCAAATTAGGGCAGTTGCCAAATAAGGAGTAGCTGTGATTTTTACTTATTTGTCAGAATTCATTCGTTTTTCCTTCAAGAAATAAGGGTGGGGGTTTTCTTTAAAACAACTGAGCTTTCTGGTATTAGCTCTCCTTTTATTTTTATGTACAGGTGATCCTTGACTTACAACCACAATTGAGCCAAAAATTTCTGTTGTTAAGTGAGTCTTTCCTCATTTTACAGCCATTCTCGCCACAGTTAAGTGTGAGCACATGACTTCCTGGACACCACGACTGTTGTAAATAGGGACCGGTTGTCAAGCATCCCAGTTTTGACCACATGAACACGGGGGAGACTGCAGTAGTTGCAAGTGTGAAAAACGGTCGTACGTCACTTTTATGGGTGCTGTTGTAATTTTGAACAGTTGCTAAACAAATGGTTGTAAATTGAGGATTACCTGTTACATTAAGTGTGATCCATGAAAGTAAGACATTGTCTCTCTTCATTTGCTCTTCCTCTTGGTCCTCCAGCACAGGCACTGGTAGCCACTTCCCCACCCAGCCATAGCCACATGGAAGATGAGATGTTCAACCAATCCAGCAGCACCCCCACATCGACCACGTCCAGCTCCCCAATCCCACCCAGCCCTGCAAACTGCACAACGGTAAGGAGGGTCTTTTGTGAGGATGGTGAAGGAACTTCCATGGGTTCGTGGGAACGAAGCATACATGCATGAACTGACGAGGGCTTCACAAGGTCAGCTTGCCACGTTGATTCACAGGGGAGCATCTTTTCCTGTGATGATGCTTAAAGGTGCCTTTAAGTTGCCCTCATGGCTGGCTAGCTGCATCCGTTTACACAGCAAGGTTACAAATATGCTTTGCCATTGCCACCTTCTGGTAGATGGTGGTCTGTTTAACTAGTCTATCCATTTCCCTCAAATTCCCAGACAATCCCCCTCCAAATACGAACCAGGACTGAACTGGCTTCCCATCTCAGACAGTTGGTTAAGATGCTGCTTTGTGCTGAGATAGTCAACCTTTTTTCCCCTTTTTTAGGAGAACTCTGAAGATGATAAGAAACGAGGACGATCAACAGACAGTGAAATCAGCCAAGTGAGTTTGAAACGCTGGGTTCTTCACGATGGAATAGGCTGGAAACCATCTGTTTTGATTAAGGGGAAAGATGTTGGGACTCTTAAGGGCTCTTTTGTGGAGGAAGAAGTGCTGGAACTGGTTAGTTAGAGCTAACTATGGCGGATTATTTCTGATACAGTTCAGTGTAATTTTAATGACTGAGCCACTTCTTGAATTAGCTCAGAGAAATTGCTTGGAGAACTACATCCATGTGAGATCTCTCTGCATTCAGAAATATTCATGTTGAGGCGCTGTTTCTCTCTTGGACCTATTTGCACCTGCTTCTAAGAGACAGGTGATATTAATGTGGGAATGCATTTCACTTGACCAATTCCATGTATGAATTTCGAAGTTAGATAGCTCTGTAAGAGAGCCATACTTCAGTAAGACTGAAATGCTTCATTTGGCTATTTATGAGAAAGGACAAGGGAGTCAGAATTTGGAAACTATAGAGCAGGGGTCTTCAAACGTGGGCCTTTTACGACTTGTGGAGTTCAACTCCCAGGCACGCTGTCTGAGGAATTCTGGAAGTTGAAGTCCACAAGTCATAAAAGGGCCAAGTTTGAAGACTCCTGTCTTAGAGTTTTGTCTTTGTAATGGAAAAAAAATATTTGCAGTCCTATTTGTCTTTTACTGGTAATCCTCACAACCACAGCTGAGACGGGCAATTCCCTTATAAGCATTGTGGTTGTAAAGTGACACTTCACATAACTCCGCCCAATCCAAAATGGCAGTTCTGACTCTGGTAGTTAAGTGAACCCCCCTGATCATTAAGCATAATATGTAACTGTGACTTGCAACTTTCTGCCGTCTTTCCCATTGGCTTGTCGGAAGCCCACTGTGAAAATCGTAAAGGGCAATCATGATCTTGGACACTGTGACTTGTAAATGCATGCTGATTCCCAGCCCCTAAAAACACCCAAAACAATTACAATACATTAAAACTATTTTCTTTTTCAATATTTTATTAGTGTTTCTTAGAATAAAAGTTATTTAAAAAATTAAAGGAAAAACAAATTAAAAAAAGATAGAAAATAAAATGTCAAAAATTTGGAAAATGCGTAACTTGACCGTGCTTATAAGTCATCCCGTGTTGTAGGGTCTCCTGCTTGAGCAGGGGGTTGGACTAGAAGACCTCCCAGGTCCCTTCCAACTCTTTTATTCTGTTAAATTATTATCTGACCATGGGAATGCTGTGATAGCCACAAGCTCTAGGATTAGTCATAAACCTACCTGTTCATTGCCGTCTTAACTTTGAATGTTTGCCGAGCAAGCAGTCGGTAAACGAGGGACTACCTCTAATTGATTTTAATCTCTTCCATTTGTATTTGCTTTTGCGATATAAATGGCCTGGAGGTTCCCATTCGATCAGAGAAAGAGGGTTTTGTGGTGTAGACAAATAAAAAACTAATTTTTCCTCTGTTCCCTCCTCTGTTCTGCCTAGTCCCCAGCAAAGAACGGTTCAAAAGGCCTCCACAATAACCACCACCAGCCTCCTCCCACCATCCTTCCCAGCTATCCGATGGGCAGCAGCTCCAGCACATCGTCCTCCCTGGGGAACGGGCCTGGCTCCAACAGCAACGGGGCCGTCGCGGGCAGCGGGAATGCAAGCAGCAAAGCCAACCCTCCGGCAGGGCACGCACCGACCACCCCAACCCCTTACGCGCAGGCTGTGGCACCCCCACCCCCCAGCACCAATGCCTCACAGCCCCGGCCTCCCAGCACCCAGCAGAACGCCAGCAAGCAGAACGGTGCAACCAGTGAGTGAGCTGCGGAGGGTCTCCGGGTCACGGGGGCTGCTCTCCTGGTCTTCCGCACTTCCTGGAGTGCAGAACCTGCAGTCCTGCTGCAGAAGGTGGCCTTTGAAGAAGCTTCTTGCCTTCGTTGGAACACGCGGGTGATCTTTTAGTTGTACAGGTAGTCCTCGACTTACGACCACAATCAAGCCCCAGTTTTATGTTGCTAAGTGAAACATTTGTGAAGTGAGTTTTGCCCCAACTTTTTTACAACTTTTCTTGCCACAGTTGCTAAGTGAATCATCGCATTTGCTAAGTTAGCAACACAGTTGTGAAGTGAATCTGGCTTCCCCATTTGCCTTTGCTTGTCAGAAGGTCACAAAAGGGGGTCACACAACCCCGGGACACTGCCACCGTCATAAGTATGAGTTAGTTGCCAAGCGTCTGAACTTTGATCATGTGACCATGGGGATGCTGCAATGGTCTTAAGTGTGAAAACTAGTCATGTCACTTTTTTCAGTGCCGTTGTAACTTAGAACGGTCATTAAACGAACTATTATAAGTCAAGGACTACCTATATAGGTGATCCTTGACTTATAACTGTCATTGAGCCCAGAATTACAGTTGTAGGTCATTGCAGTCATAAGTTGAGACATCCACGTGATCAGACTCAGTTTTACAACATTTTTTTTGCAGCGGTTTTTAAAAGAGCACTTCAATCACTAAGTGAACGCCACAATAGTTAAGCAAATCCATTTCCCCCCCCCCATGGGTGTTTTTTTTTTTTTAACTGGAAAAAGGAAATAAACACCAGAAAGCAGCAAAAAACATAAATGTGACTCTGGGATGCTGCAAATGGACATAAAGGTGACCAGGTGGCCAAAAACCCAAAATTCCATCCTGTGACCGCAGGCGGGTATGTAGCCATTATAACTCCGCAAACAGGTTATAAGTTGCTCTGGGGTGGTCCATTGTAATTTCAAATGGTTATTAAACAGTCGGTCGTAAGTCGAGGAGTGCTTGTGTATAGACTGTTGTTTTACCTGAGAACAATCTTCTGCAGTCGCCTGTCCTCCAGATGTGTGGGATTCAACTCCCATAAATCCTATCAGGCTTGGCAATGCGTTGAGGTCCAACCCATCCAGGGGGCAGCCAATTGTGGAAAAAACTGGCATGGGACAAGCAAGGAATCAAGAGGGGAGATCCAGAGCTTCATGTTAGAGAGAATTTAGCCTCTCTGTCTCCTGCCAGGTTACAGCTCCGTGGTAGCCGACAACAGCTCAGATTCGACACTAAGCAGCGGCAACCAGTCATTGCCTAACCAGACAACGTCACACAATCCACCCAGTGCTTCCACGTGAGTATCTTCCTGGGTTTTTCTGTGTCTTCTTCCCTTCCTCTCAATACTTTTTCCCTATAAGCCTGGCAGCTGGACCCAGTAACCGCAGTCAACAACAACATCGTTGCATGTTTTTCCAGGCTTAAATTCAGCTTTTAACGTGTTTTAAGTTCTAGGTCAGGGGTAGGCAACCTTGGCTCTTTTATGACTCATGGACTTCAACTCCCAGAATTCCTGAGCCAGCATAGTTATGCTGGCTCAGGAATTCTGGGAGTTGAAGTCCACAAGTCATAAAAGAGCCAAGGTTGCCTACCCCAGTTCTAGGTAGTCCAAAGTCTAAATCAGTGTTTCTCAACCTTGACAATTTTAAGGCATGTGGACTTCAACTCCCATGCTGGCTGTGGAATTCTGGGAGTTGAAGCCCACATGCCTTAAAATTGTCAAGGTTGAGAAACACTGGTCTAAATAATTCAAAAAATTAAAATTCATTCACGTTAAGCCTCGGGGACTGAGAAACAGTTTCCAACTTTTGCTACTTTCTTCTGTCCCCTTTGAAAATACTATCTGTAGGGTCCCCCACTCCCTAACATTCCCATTCTAGGCAGGTTTTCAAGACCAGTTTGCTTTTTAACAACGTCATCCTACAATTTGGGAATCATTCCTTGTTTGGTATAGCTGCAGAAAATCTGCAGTAGACTGAATAGCCTCTGTCAGTTTGTGCTGGATTTCTGCAAAGTCGTTATTAGGCGAACATGCCAATTATTCCTCAGAAATAGAGGATTTTCACCTTCGTGTGAAATTGTAGCATGTGTATACAGCCTGGAACATGAATAACTTGGAGAAAAGAAATACCTTATATATTTATAAAGGGGGAAATTGGTTCAAATGGTGATTGTTCAGTCGGGTTCCTTTTCAGATCCATGCTAACAAGGGACAGGTGCTTCTTGACTTACCACCATTTGTTTAGCAACCATCCCAAGTTACAACGGCACTGAAAAATTGATTTACAATTGGTCCTCGCACTTAGGACCATTGCAGCATCTCCACAGTCACGTGGTTAAAATTCTGGCACTTGGCATGTATTTTTACAAGCGTTCCAGAGTCCTGGGGTCACGTGATCGCCCTTTGTGACCTTCCCAGCCAGCTTCCAACAGGCAAAGCCAATGGGGAAAGCCAGATTCACTTAACAGCTGTGTCATGGTTCCGACAGATGAAACTCTTCAAAAGAACTTCAAGGCATTGTTTACCTTTAAGAATCTTTTATTCGAGTAGCAGAATATTGGCACTGCATAATCGAAGCCAAAAACTGAATTCCCCTCCCCTGGGCACATAGTATCAAAGCACAATTCCCTCCTCCAATTAACAGTCATAAATCACTTTCCCCAATTAGCTTGAAGCACGGGCTTCCTCTCCAGTTATCCAGCCCGCCAATTCTTTATCAGCTCTGGGTTCGATAACCTTGATTCTCAGGCTAAGTTTAGTGTTGTTATTTCTAGCTCAGGGGTAGGCAACCCAAAACACTCAAAGAGCCACTTGGACCCGTTTCCCACCAAAAACAAAACACTGGGAGCCGCAAAACCCTTTTGATATCTAAAATGAAGATAACACTGCATATATATATATATATATATATATATATATATATATATATATGTAGGTCTTTGGTTGTTCGGGTTTTCTCTCCGCGTAAAATTGGAAGTGTCTTGGCGACGTTTCGACGAAGTCCCATTCGTCATCTTCAGGCTGGTGTTTTCAGCTTTGTGCTTCGAGCAGCTCGTGCTTCGAAGCTGAAAACACCAGCCTGAAGATGACGAATGGGACTTCGTCGAAACGTCGCCAAGACACTTCCAATTTTACGCGGGAGAAAACCCGAACAACCAAAGACCTACATACAAACACCCGCGAAAACCTCAGAAACATATATATATATATATATATATATATATATATATATATATATAGAAAGAGAGACGAGGGAAGATACGGCAGGTGGAAGTGCGGGTGAACCGCCAAACGTAACGGCCTGCCTACACATCAAAAGAAACATCACGGTTGGTCCGGAAAGGAGGAGAAGACCCCCTCGTGCAGCCGGAACGATCAGCTCCAATGAGGACAAACCACGGGAGGTGGTTGACGATGAACTCTCGCACACCGTTATAGAGGAGGAGGGAAGATCGGAGAGCGGCAGGGTGCAGGAGATCGAGCCGTCACACCCCCTACCCGACGATCCTGAGGACTCCCATGGAACACACGCGAATGCTTTTAACAACGTAAAAAAGGGGAGAACTGAGGAAGAGCGCTGCAACCAGGAGGGGCACGGCTTGATTGCTGTACACACACCCCCTGGACTGAGTACTCGGAGTAGGACACGCGCAAGACAGCTGGGCATGACAACGAATAAGAGACGACCCCTCCACCTTGCGGAATACCCCCCCCACGCTGCACCGGACCCATAGCAACTTACGAGATCATCAGGATGACGGACACATTAAAAACGAAAGTATTGAGACCGGAAATGAATGCGATTCTAAAAGTAACAACTGGACAAGATACGGTGGAGAAAGGAACGTGGAATGTGCACTACCTGAGCCTGAGGGGAGGTCAGAACATAAAGGCAACCGTAATAACTGGAATTGCCATCTAGCTAATCCGGAGTTGGGAGAATTGGAGATGGATGAGGATAAAAATGCAACCAAAAAGAGAAAAGAAGTACAAGTTAATTGCACACGGCTGAACCAATTAGGCCCGATAACAAGATCAAGGAGCCGGGCGCAAACCTTGACACGCCTATAAAAGACCTTCTCATTCTCTGGCGCGCCAGCCCTGAGGATGCCGGCAGGTGACGGCGAAAGCTTGGCGCTTTTTAAAACTTTTATAGTTTTAATTTATTAAAAACTTTTACAGTTTTTATTACCCTGGTGTTCAGTTTATATTTTCACCATGAATATTCCCAGGGTTCATATTTTTAACCTTTTTAATCGCGTGTGTGTGTGTGTGTGTGTGTGTGTGTGTGTGTGTGTGTGTGTGTGTGTGTGTATATATATATATATATATATATATATATATATATATATATATATATATATATATATATGCTTTCTGAGGTTTTCGCAGGTGTTTGTATGTAGGTCTTTGGTTTGGTTATTATTTTTCTCCCGCATCAAATTGGAAGTGTCTTGACGACATTTCGACGAAGTCTCATTCATCATCTTCAGGCTGGTGTTTTCGGCTTTGTGCTTCTAGGAGCAATGTGTGATCGTAGGTGTTTCTTCCTTTTAACTGCCAGTGGGGATATGAACTAATTGGATGAGAGCTTGGCTGTGTTCTAATTGGATGGAGGTGTGTTCTGATTGGTTAGGAGCATGGCTGTGCTCTGATTGGATGGGGGGTTGGCTGTGCTCTGATTGGTTGGGAGAGTGTTCTGTTTGGGTGGGGGCTTTGTTATGCTCAGGTTAGTCTGAGTTGCACAGGGATGTGAGATGGTGAGCTGCATTGCTATTGTTTGGCTTCGCGTTCGTGGTCGTGCCTCATCTTCATGGTGGATGTCAGTTTGCTTCATGTATGGATTGGAGGGGTTTAAAGTGGCTAATGATGCAGCTTTGGTCTGGCTTCTGGTTTGTGGTCGTGCCTCATCATCGGTGTGGGTTTGGGTTTGCTTTTTGCATGGATATGTGGTGCTGACATCCTGTGTGGCTTTTGTGAGTGTGGGTCTGATGTCATTCTTTGTGTTAGGGACTCGTTTGTCAATAAGGGCGGGTTTCCAAATGGCTGGTAGGTGGGAGGTATCATCTCGTTTGTTCATGCTGTGTGGGCGTTTTTCTATCTCGATGGCTTCTCTGATTATTCTGTTATTAAAGTATTCAGTTTTGGCGATAGTTCTGGTCTTTTTAAAATCAATTTCATGTCCTGTGATTTTAAGGTGTTGGACCAGGGAAGAAGTTGGTTCCTCTTTTTTGACTCTTGTTCTTCAATGCGTGCACTTATTCTTCTGTTGGTTTGTCCAATGTATGTGATGGGACAAGCGGTGCATGGGATTTCGTATACTCCTTGATTTTCTAATTCAATTTTGTCTTTGGGGTTTCTTAGGATGGTGGATATTTCTCTGTTTGTGCAGAATGCTGTCTTAATGTTGTGTTTGTGGAGGATCTTGCTGATTCTGTCTGTGGTGCCTTTTATGTAAGGGAGGAGGGCTTTGCCGTTTTCTTGTTCTCTCTTGGATTTTAGTGGGGGTTTCTTTTTGGAGTAGTTTGGTAATCTTATTTCTTTGGAATCCATTGGATGTAAGTACATTAGTGAGAGTGTGTAGTTCGGTTTTTAAGTGTTGTTCATCAGCTAAGCGTTTTGTTCTAGAGATGAGTGTCTTGGCTACAGAGTTGATCTGTGCTGGGTGGTGTTGTGAGAGAGCGTGCAGATAGCGGTTTGTGTGTGTTTTCTTCTGGTAGATGGTGTGTCCTAGGGAGCCATTGGATTTCTTGCAGACTAAGACATCCAGGAAGGGAAGTTGGTTATTAGCTTCTGTTTCCATGGTGCTGTATTTTGGGGGTGTAGGCTGTTGAGGTGTATGAGGAAATTGTCCAGTTTTTCTTTCCCATGTGGCCAGATTATGAAGGTGTCATCTACGTATCTGAGCCAGAGTTTGGGTTTGTGATCTGATTTTTCTAGAGCTTGGGTTTCAAAGTGTTCCATGTAGAGGTTTGCAATGACAGGTGAGAGGGGTGATCCCATGGGTGCTCCTTCTATTTGTTTGTATTTTTGTCTGTTATAGATGAAGTATGTGTTGGATAGGCAGTGGTTGGTCAGATCTAGGATATGTTTGGGGGGGGGTTATATTTGTTTTGGATAGCTGTCAAGGCTTCTTTGATTGGCACTTGGGTGAAGAGGGATATGACATCGAAGCTCACGAGTAGGTCGCTGGACTGTAAGTTTTGTTTCTTTATGATCTCTAAGAAATGGAATGAGAACAAGAAAACGGCAAAGCCCTCCTCCCTCACATAAAAGGCACCATAGACAGAATCAGCAAGATCCTCCACAAACACAACATTAAGACAGCATTCTGCACAAACAGAAAAATATCCACCATCCTAAGAAACCCCAAAGACAAAATTGAATTAGAAAATCAAGGAGTATACGAAATCCCACCACATACATCGGACAAACCAACAGAAGAATAAGTGCACGCATTGAAGAACATAAGAACTCAGTCAAAAAAGAGGAACCAACTTCTTCCTTGGTCCAACACCTTAAAATCACAGGACATGAAATTGATTTTAAAAAAGACCAGAACTATCGTCAAAACTGAATACTTTAAGAACAGAATAATCAGAGAAGCCATCGAGATAGAAAAACGCCCACACAGCATGAACAAACGAGATGATACCTCCCACCTACCAGCCATTTGGAAACCCGCCCTTATTGACAAACGAGTCCCTAACACAAAGAATGACACCAGACCCACACTCACAAAAGCCACACAGGATGTCACCACCACACGTCCACGCAAAAAGCAAACCCAAACCCACACCGATGATGAGGCACGACCACAACAGAAGCCAGACCAAAGCTGCATCATTAACCACTTTAAACCCCTCCAATCAATACATGAAGCAAACTGACACCCACTATGAAGATGAGGCACGACCACGAACGCGAAGCCAAACAATAGCAATGCAACTCACCATCTCACATCCCCGTGCAACTCAGACTGACCTGAGCACAACAAAGCCCCCACCCAAACAGAACACTCCCCCAACCAATCAGAGCACAGCCAACCCATCCAATCAGAGCACAGCCAACCCCCCATCCAATCAAAGCACAGCCATGCTCCTAACCAATCAGAACACACCTCCATCCAATCAGCCAAGCTCTCATCCAATCAGTTCATACCCCCACTGGCAGTTAAAAGGAAGAAACACCTACGATCACACATTGCTCCTAGAAGCACGGAGCCGAAAACACCAGCCCGAAGATGACGAATGAGACTTCGACGAAACGTGGCAAAGACTTCCAATTTGACGCGGGAGAAAACCCGAATAACCAAAGACCTACATACATACATACATACATACATACATACATACATACATACATACATGTAAAAAAGAGTATATGCAGTGTTATCTTCATTTTAGATGTCAAAAGGGTCTCTCTGTCTCTCCCTCCCTCTTTTTCTGTCTCTCTTTTTCTTTCTCTTTCCTCTCCCCCCCCCTCTCTCTTTTTCCCCCTCTCTCTCTTTCTGCCCTTGGTCTGCCAGTCCTCTTCCCCCACTCTTTCTTTCTCTCTTTCCTCTCTCTCTCTCTCTTTCAATCCCTCCCCCTCTCTCTCTTTCTCCCCCCCATCTCTTTCTCTCCCCCCCTTCTCCCTCTCTCCAATCTTCTGCTCACCTGGCAAGCTGGCTTCAAGCTGTTCTCCAACAAGCTCAGGGGTAGGCAACCTCGGCTCTTTTATGACTCATGGACTTCAACTCCCAGAATTCCTGAGTCAGCATAGCTGGGCTAGCTAGCTCTCTCCTGCTCTTCCTGCTTCCTGCAGAGATGCAGCAAAGGGAGGAGCTCCGCCCAGTAAGCTTTTCAGCTCTTGGAGAACACTGTGAGTCCACTCTCTTTTTTACACACACACACACAAAGACAGAGAGAGAGAGAGAAGGGAAGCGCAAGTGCCTCTGTCTGTCTCTGTCTCTGCAAATGGCAGCTGGGAGCCGCAGGGAAAAGGCTCAAAGAGCCACATGTGGCTCCAGAGCCGCAGGTTGCCGACCTGTGGTCTAGCTGGACTCTCATTCACATCCCACCCCTTCCGAGCATCATCTAATTCTAAAAGCGAAAGGGAAAAAAAGGCTACATTTTCATCTGTTGTCAATGCAAAACATCCGATGTTAGCAGCGTTGACGCTGCATGATTCACTGAACAACAATCATGGCAAAAAAAGGCGTAAAATTGGGCATGCTTAATGGCCATCTTGCTTAGTAATGAATATTCCATCCCAATTGTAATCGTAAGTCGAAGCAGAGGTCCCCAACCTTTTGGGCACCAGAGACCGGTTCCTTGGAGAGAGGTTTTTCTATCGACCGGAGGGGGCATGGTTTTGAGTGCTGCCTGCGTCCCGTGGATGGGGCTTTGCTTGTTTGTGCAGGCCGGTTGCTGGCATGCCACGGCTCAGTACTGGTCCACAAGGAATATGCTAATTGGCAGCTGTAGTTATTTCTTTAAAATCTTAATGGCTCTTCTGACTCCTTTTCCCAAAGAAACGGAGGTCAAGTTACCCCAAGAAACATCTTTGCCTTGCTTCATTCTGATAGGAAAGAGCCCAGTGCAGCTCCTCAGCCATCAAGTGTTGGCAACAGCACTGGATCCAGCCTCCTGGTGCCTCTGACTGCCAACCCACCTGCCTCACCCACACCCAGCTTCTCCGACAGCAAATCTGCCCAGACGTTGCTCAACGGGCCACCCCAGTTCAGCTCCACGCCTGAGATCAAGGTTAGAAGCCCTTTGGTTCCCTTGTGCCACACTTCCACCCAACAGACGGTTTCAAAGCATTGCTGTGGCTTGTGGGGAAGACAGCTCAGCTGGGAGAATTTTCAGAACCTGAAAAATTGCAATCTGGGACTCACCAAGACCTGTGCTAGAACCATAGTTTTCTAACCTGTCAATCAGTGGACTGGTGTTAGGGTGAACAAAAAGTGTTCAATTGTTTAGGCCAGGGGTAGGCAACCTTAGCTCTTTATGAACCATGGACTTCAACTCCCAGAATTCCTAAGCCAGCATGGCTCAGCATGGAAACCTCTCCCTTTCCCCTCAGCATGGCTGGCTCATGAATTCTGGGAGTTGAAGTCCATGAGTCATAAAAGAGCCATGGTTGCCTACCCATGGTTTAGGCATTTGGAGTAAAACAGGGACAGCACAAGGTTCTAAAAAAAGGTTTGGGATAGGGACAATAAAATGACAAACCTAAAGGAATTTAAAACTTTAAATGGAGAAAAAAACAGTATCCTAATCCTGTACATGTTGGCAAGAAATGAGCTGGAGATGGTTGGCTAGGAAACAGGTTGAGTTTGCGATACACAGCTAGATAAAACTCTCAATGCTGTGAGGATTTTTGGCCGTGAGTGAAAGTGTGAAAAAGCCAGACATCTTATTAGGCATCACTAGGAATAAAATAAAATGCTAAACTGCCAATTTCTTAATTCCCCTTAACAAATCTGTGGTAAGATTGGATTTGAAATACAATGTTCATTTCCAGGCATCATGGGCTGAAATTGATACCACAATCCTAGAAAAGGGAAATGACCAAAATAATAGAGGGGATTGAACAGTTTTCTAAGGAGAACTAATAGCATGTTGCTGTTTTAACTAGAGAGAGGTAAAAGGGATGTAAGGGAGGACACAGAATGTATAAAACTCCACAAGGTGTGGAGAAAAATAGATAGAGAAAAAGCTTTTTATCCTTTTCCCATAATATTAAAACTTACATCCTTTCATTGAAGTTGAATGGTAAGAGACATAGGACAAAAGTTTTTGTGGTTTTTTTTTAATCAATGCATAGTGGAATTGACTGCCACAAACTAGCTTTGAAAGAGGTTAGATGAAAAGGTAAACGTGTTAGTGGCTGCTGGCCATGATACAAAATGTATTTCCTTCAGAACCAGGGACAGCATATTTGTGGGTCTTAATTACCAGGGAACGCAAGGATACTTTTGTTCTGATTGCCTGCTGAGAATATCTCAAAATATTTCTGGTTTGTTCTTGAGGACTTTGCATAGGCCTTTGCTGTGATTCGGCATGGCTTTAACTGTTTTAGAAAAGAACCCCTTGGGCTGATGCATGGAGGTGGGCTTGTTGCATGTTAGCTTTTCAGCAGCTCTGTAAGACTTGCTAACCAGAGAAACCATGATTGGCTTGAGATCTCCCACAAACTTTGCTTATTCACTTTGTTTTTTAGCAGAGTTCTTAAACACATAGGTGTGCCATCTATCTCCATTACCTCCTTTCTTATGGCTCTATCTTTTATTCTGTAGGCACCTGAACCCCTAAATACGTTGAAGTCCATAGCTGAAAGGACAGCGATCAGTTCTAGCATAGAAGACCCCGTGCCATCTCTTCACCTGGCTGAAAGGGGTAAGTGAAAAAAGGAACATCTCCTCCCTCAAGCTAAGGGTCAGGAGCAGGGCCAAAGCAGTGCAAAATATCTGCAAAATGTCTCTCTGTATGAGAGAGAGAGATCCCCAGTAAATCCACTAACTATGTTTCCCAATATTTTGAAGCAGAAAATACACAAAACTGTAATTTAAATCCTGAAGTAAATGCAGTTCTTCCATATCCGGATCAAACTTTAAACTGCCAGAATGAAGCCACCTTCCTGGTTGTGTCACTGGCCAAAACTAAGTCACTATTGGTACATGTTTCGGTTAGTAGCCGACATATCAGCAGATTTCTCCACATTCACATAGCGTGTTGTTGTCTGCTAAGAGCATCCACTTGGTTTTACACTTGGGTGTTCCAAGTCTCAACCTATCCAGGGTGCTCCAAGTAGTATAAAGGAAGTTGGATTCTTCAGCCACATCCTCCTTTAATGTTATTCCTTGCTTGGTCTCCTTCCTCCATCTTTAATTCGATTTTGTTTTTGTGTACTATCAAGAATGTTTGTTCTTAAATGCCACATTACGCACACACACACACACACACACACACACACACACACACGAAAAATCCCAGTCCTGTCTACGTGTAGGATGAAGCCCCATTGGATGGATGGGTGGGTGTATTTAAAATGTTAAAATTAACAAGATTAGGTAGAAAACTAGAAAACCAAAAGTAAGAACAGTGCCATCTTCCCTCTTAGTCCACCAGCCATCTCAAGCATAGAGCGCCCCCATCAGGACCCCAAGCTAACTAGCAGAAGCATGCTAGTTAATTCTTCTGGAAGGCAGAAGGGTGGGGGCAGACCATGCCTCCCTATGCAAGATGCTCCAAAGAAGAGGGGCCATGGCAGGAAGGGCTCTCCTCCTAGACTCCTCCAGCAGAAACTCCTTGACCGATGCCTGCAGCATGCCCCTTCTGCGAAATTGAGTGGGGTGGGCCAATCCCCTTAGGCCACAGGTCGGCAACCTGCGGCTCCGGAGCCGCATGCGGCTCTTTGAGCCTTCCCCAGTGGCTCCCAGCCTCCTCTGTCTTTGTAGAGAGAGACAGAGACAGAGAGGGGAATTGCGCTTCCCTGCTTCTCTCTCTCTCTCTCTCTCTCTCTCTCTCTCTCTCTGTGTGTGTGTGTGTGTGTATAAGTGTATAAAAAAGAGAGTGCACTCACAGTGTTCTCCGAGGAGCTGAAAAGCTTACTGGGCGGAGCTCCCCCCTTTGCTGCATCTCTGCAGGAAGCAGGAAGGGCAGGAGAGAGCTAGCTAGCCCAGCTAGGCTGACTCAGGAATTCTGGGAGTTAAAGTCCATGAGTCATAAAAGAGACGAGGTTTTCTACCCCTGAGCTTGTTGGACAACAGCTTGAAGCTTGCTAGGTGAGCAGCAGATAGGAGAGAGAGGGAGAGAGAGAGAGAGAGAGAGGAAAGAGAGAGAGAGAAAGAAAGAGAGCGGGAGAAGAGGAGTGGCAGACCAAGGGCAGAGAGAGAGAAAGAGAGAGAGAGAGAGAGACCCTTTTGACATCTAAAATGAAGATAACACTGCATATATCCTTTTTTTACCTGTGTGTGTGTGTGTGCGTGTGTGTGTGTATGTATATATATATATATACATATACATATACATATATATATACACACACACACATACATACACACACACAAACACACACACACCTATAATAAAGGTAAAAAAGGATATATGCAGTGTTATCTTCATTTTAGATATCAAAAGGGTTTTGCGGCTCCCAGTGTTTTGTTTTTGGTGGGAAACGGGTCCAAGTGGCTCTTTAAGTGTTTTGGGTTGCCTACCCCTGCCTTAGGCTATGACGGTTCCTCGGATAACCTGGTCCCATTCACTGCAGTTGGATCTTTCTATCCCCAGCTAAGTTAAATATAGCCCTGGCCAACAAAAATTAACCCCTGTGCATATGCCTCCCCCCCCCCATACACACACACCTTCCCCAATAAAGGATCAGACCCAACTGGTTCTCATCTTCCCTGTTCCTCAAATCTCAAATGTTTTTTCTTCCTCCGGCCATCCATTATATTGGCAGTTCTGGAATCAACAGCCTTCTGCTTTGGAAGAAAAACAGGATATCAATCAAAGTAAATCGCTTCAGGCCAAGTGTGGGCCCGTGACTTGCCCACTGTTGTTTTGTTTTTTATCCATTGGATTGTAAGAAACAAAGAGAATATTTGACTTACTGTGCACAGCAAAATAAAAAAGTCTTGGTGAAACTGTGGATCAGGGAAATTAAAGAGAAAGGGATCTGGAAGGGAAAATTGTGGTTTTCAGGAAAAAAGAGGGGGAGCTGTTCCCTCCACATCAGCCTTCTCCACTTTGGTGTGCTCCAAAAGGGTTGGCTTGCAATTGTCTTAAAATTATTCCCAGGTTAGACACTGAGAATCGAGGATAGACACTGAAGTCTGGTTTATGTTTTCACCTATTTTTGTTCTTAACTGATTATTGCCAAGCAAATCTTTCTAGTTGGATCTAGGACAATGTTTTTCAAACTTGGCAACTTTAAGATATTCAACTCCTGGAATTTTCCAGCCAGCCAGAATTCTGGGAGTTGAAGTTCATGAATCTTCAGGTTGCCAAGTTTGAAAAAGAAAAATCTAGGATCTTGGGGAGAAGTAGGAATTGTCAAAATAACGACAACCCTAAGTGTACAATTTCTGAGTGGTCCTTCCTTCTTTCTTTGCTCCAGCTGACATCTTAATTACTAGCACAACATCTCAGCCAGCCTCCAACCAGCCCCCCATCCAGCTCTCGGAGGTGAACATCCCCCTTTCCCTCGGGGTGTGCCCTCTGGGGCCCGTGCCTCTCATTAAGGAGCAGCTGTACCAACAGGCCATGGAAGAGGCCGCCTGGCACCACATGCCTCATCCTTCTGATTCGGAAAGAATCCGGTAAGGGGGAATCCTGGGGAAAAACCCGAGGGCATTGGAGTAACAATCAATCTCATCTCCTTGGAGAAAGGGGGAAAAACGGTGGACAGAAAGGCAGTTCCTTGAAATTTATATTGCTGTAGTTTTCAAATTAATTCAGGACCTTCTTGGTGATTTCCAAGCATAGAGGTAGACCTGGACTTAGCAACCACAATCAAGATCAGAGTTTCTGTTGCTAAGCAAGCTGAGTTGCTTAGCCTGATTTTATGACCTTTTTTTTTTTTGCCACGGTGGTTAAGCAAATCATTGCGGTCGTTAAGTGAATCATATGGTCATTAAGCCAATCTGGCTTGCCCCATTGACCTCACTCGTTGGAGCCATATGGAAGGGTGACAAATGGCGGATGATTGTAAACGCAAGAACTGGTGGTAAATTATTTTTCCAGTGTTGTCGTAACTTCGAACTGTCATTAAACGAATGCTTGTTGCAAGTCAAGGACTACCTATAGAGCTAAGTCTCCCTTATCAAATGCAACAGATAGGTTAAGGGCTGTGGACCCAAGAGTGCAGAACCACTGACCCGAAGAGAAACCTTGGGAATGGCTACCAGAGCCTTCCAAAAACTGGCTTTTTTGATGGACAAAAGGAAATCCTTAAATACGTTGGGGATGATCTCACGAAGCGTAATATTGACAGAAGAGAATATTTGTGTCTCAGGGTAGAACTGGGAAGGTTCCCTGGTGTTCCCTGGGTTTGGTTGTTTTCTTGTGGACATTTTATTACCAAACTAAGTAATAGCATCAGTGTTAGAAGGCAGTGGAATTTGTTCTTATTTTATATTCCAGTGGCTTGCCCTATCAGTGTTGGTGGGGGTGGTCTTGGTGGTTCCTATTGTTAGCTTGTTTGGCAATTCCTTGATTGGGGTCTTGGAGTAACACTCAAATATGCATTTTGATCTACTGATTTGTTGGAAACTGGCTTCAGCGCAGCTTAAAAGTAGACTGTGGCTGCTAGACAAAGAACAGTTGCATGTCTACACTATATTGTGTCTGTTGTGTTGATCATGTGCTCTCAGAAGAGCCCAGAGGACGATGGTAGTTGGTCCACAAGTCATAAAAGAGCCAAGATTGCCTACACCTGCCCTAAACCAATAAATGCATTTGTGTCATCCTCTGACAGAAACTAATGCTTTCATAGAAGATGGGGTAAGGCAAGAAGTAAATGCACCATTTTAATAACTAAAATTGAATCTGAATGTCAAGTCAAACCACAACAGAACCTCACAATTTTATAAAATAAAATCTTTTGCTTAAAGCCACCTTTTTAATCAGAAGGATATAGCTTGCTATAGTTTTGCATAATTCCTGAAATATTTGTTTTTGAGAAATTCGCTCTTGCTTTTTGTTCCCTGCTTTTTTACTTACACTTTATAGCATCGTCTGTAAAAAAAAAATCCTGACTTTGCTAATGGCTTGTCCGGACAGCACAGGAGCTAGTTTTGGCAGCAACCCAGCTTTACGTGTGTAGGCCACAAGGGTTGTGAATCCAGAGCTGGGGCCTGGTCAGGACTTGTTCCTGCACTGCCTGGACAAGCAAATGGGAAGGAAAACCCACCCTTACATAGATCCTAGTTGTGGGTCTATCAACCACCAGGGTTGGCCTTTCAATAAGGACCTTGGCAAGCATTCCATCCTTGAGTCAGTGACTTTCTGGCCTGCTTCTGGTATTGATCCAGTTGCCCTGTGCCCTCATGCAGTCAGGAAATGCTGATGAACACCTCAGGTAGATAAACCAGACGTAGAGCAATGCCTGGCTGCCATTATAAGGCCATGAACAGAGCTGCAGAAACCACCTTCTAGCCTTATCACTGGGACTGGTGGAGGGAGAGATGGCAAATAACATGCTAGAGGCAAGGAAAAGTGTGCTGATAGTTGGACATTGGGGTAGTCCCCAAATTACAAGAATTCATTTGGTGACAACGGCACTGAAAAAAAGTGACTTATGACCATTTCTTTTTAATAAATTTTATTAGTTTTAATAGGGTTGGGGATAAAATGGGGTCAGGATTAGGATTAAGGTTTGGGTTAGGGTTTGAGTTAAGGTTGGGGTTTTTCCAGGTAACATTTTCAATATTTAGCAAACAGCATATTGTCTGGGTACATGTATTTAACTAACAATAATAGATATAGTTGATTATCATAAACAGTATTAATCACTCAGTAGCCTTCTTCTTACTAATATATATTCAAAATTACATGTCACATTCCTTTCTCTCTGACTCGTTTTTCCAGCCATTGGCAAAAATTATCCCATGTTCTAAAGTAGACTCAGTCTTCTTTCTCTTTAATCTCTAAAGACAATCTGTCTTATGACCATTTTTCACAGTTATGACCTTTGCAGCATTCCCAGGATCATGGGATCAAAATTCAGATGCTTGGTAACTGGTTCATACTTACGACCATGGCTATATCTCAAGGTCATGTGATCCCCTTTTGCAACCTTCTGACGAGCAAAGTCAAGGGGGAAAGCCAGAATCACTTAACAACCGGGTTGCTAACTTTTATCGTGCGGTGATTCACTTAACAACCGTGACAAGAAAGGTGGTAAAATGGGGCAAAGCTCATTTAACAAATGTCTCACTTAACAACAGAAACGTCGGCTCAATTGTGATCGTAAGTTGAGGACTATCTGTGGATTGAATGCAGTTGGATTATGTCAGACCACATTTCTGCTTTTCTCGATAAATGCTCATTAGGGCACTAGAAGGAGCCAGTTCTGGCAGCAATCTTGCTTTACTTGTTCTAGTCCCACAAAAATGTGTGCTCTCCTTCCCCTCCCCCCCCCCCCAGTGTCATGACTCAGTTTGAGAACTCCTTCAACTTGCCACACTTCTCATCATCCAGGCAAAGTGTTCCTCTTTCTTCCTTTGGTCACTTCCTAAAACCCAGGTGGGCCAGCCTGTTTGGGAAGACTCACTTCTCATGTCGTGAACGAGAATTCAGGCCATTGCGGGAAGAGGGAGGAAACGGAGCTTGGCCACCATAGGATCCAGGCTTCTGATGGCCACCAGTTGAGGAAGGATTGAGGCCAAATATTGTTATTCCCTACACTTAGGAGTCTGTGTCTATGTGCAGGGGAGAATTCACAGACCTCTTGTGAATTCCCCCGAGTTTCTCATAGGCTTACTTCTCTCTTTTCTGCTCTCGTTCTGCCTTCTCGCCCCCATCCCACAGGCAATACCTTCCTCGGAATCCTTGTCCGACTCCTCCATACCACCACCAGATGCCTCCTCCACACTCCGACACGGTGGAATTCTACCAGCGCCTCTCCACAGAGACTCTTTTCTTCATCTTCTACTATCTGGAGGTAACAGACAGTCCCTCATTCCATTCCCTTTGGTAGTTTGGAAGAGGAATCCTATATCCGCGCTGGGTCATTCCTGAGGGTTATCTTGGCGTGAGTGCGAGATAAACAACATCTCCGCCCTTGACCTGCAAATCCCGTTGCTTTGATCCGTTTTCCCTCTTTCACGTCAAAGGGTACGAAGGCACAATACCTGGCAGCAAAGGCACTGAAGAAGCAATCGTGGCGCTTCCATACGAAGTACATGATGTGGTTTCAGCGGCACGAAGAACCTAAGACCATCACTGATGAGTTTGAGCAGGTGAGGGTGAAGGTAACGGATGACGGGGCCCATTGATGTAATTTCACCCATATTAGCAAAGACTAATGGTCCAATGATCGTAAGAATGCAATTGTGCGTGTATGTGTCCATTTCGAGCAGAGTGCTTCATACAACATAGCATTTTGTGAGGGAAACGGACTGCTTCAAGCACTTTGAGCACTTCTGAAGTCACAGCCATTTTGTTGTTGTTCAACGATCAGTAAATTATACGTACATGTAGTCCTTGACTTGAGCCCAGAATTATGGTAGTAAGTCGTACCAGTCATTAAGCAGGTCACCCTGTGACTACACCTGACTTTACAGTCTTTTTTGCAGTGATCGTTAAGCAAACTCTGCAGTCATTAATGAATCCATTGTCCACAATGGGTGTTTTTGGCCAGAATCGTAGTCATCTGATTGCAGGATACTTCTAGCGGCCATAAATATGGGAGGTGGTTGAGTGCTCAAAAGGCAATTATGTGGCCATGGAGTGAGGGGCGGGGGGAGGGTGGCCATTAGAATTTTGAATCTGAGTTGTAGACCTGGGGAGGTCCGTTGTCAGTTTGAATGGTCCCGAAGCAACCAGTTGTAAGTCAAAGAGTATCTGTAAACAGTTAAAAAAAATAGCTGTATTCAGATTAGCATCACTTTGTATTCACTGCAGCAATGCAGGATTTAGCTACCACAGAGGTCATAGGGGCTTTTTAAAAAATCTGAAATAGAGGTTAAAACAATAATTATCCATTCTTCCTTGGTATTGACATAGCAAGGATAGGCCATAACTACTCCAAATATCCCTATAGAGCTCGAGGCACTGTTTAAAGTCATGATCACCTTTTCTGCATCTGAAATAGTAGTTGTGCCTTCATCGGGGTTAAAAATGTAATGTTTATGGCCAGAATAGAGAATCTGGTTGGGCATTGGAGGAAGACAGAAGAAGAGTTAACCAAATCAGGTTCCTCTTTGAAAAACCTGGTGCTTTTTTAGTTAATTAGCTATTCTTTCATAGAATTAGAAGTTGCTTTTCTATAAACCTAGGCCAGGGTTAGGCAACCTTGGCTCTTTTATGACTCGTGGACTTCAACTCCCAGAATTCCTGAGCCAGCCATGCTGAGGAGAAATGGAGAGGTTTCCATGCTGAGCCATGCTGGCTCAGGAATTCTGGGAGTTGAAGTCCACAAGTCATAAAAGAGCCAAGGCTGCCTACCCCTGGCCTAGGCTATGCAAGCAGCACTGTCACTCCATGTATATGTTTACAAATGAGGTGGTCCCACTTGTCTCTCTGCTGCAGTCACCCGCGTGGATGACTGTCTGTAAATGCGGTAAATTACTGATAAGGTAGCTCTGCTTCCCATTCCTTAAAGAAGGCAAGATGGAGGTTCTTTTGAGGCTGATGTCGTCCACCACCGAAAAAGTGATCATGCCATTTTCCCATCACCCAAAACAGCTTTTGATTCTTCCATACTTTGCATCTCTGATGTACTTTTTTCCTCTCAGGGAAAAAAAAAAAAAATTGCCAAAGTTGTAAACTTCAGGTTTGTGTAAAGTTGTGATATTCTGTGAGACTCTTACAAGAGAAGGCCCACTGAAAGCCACAGGACTCCTGCTTTCATGTGGAAGGGCAACAGGTGTCATCTTGGCAACAGAGTCCAGGATTCCTTTAGTATAAGTAAATATGTTCAGTCAGGCAAAAAGTAATGAACTCTGTTGTATTTTCCTGTTTCTGCTCAGGGCACTTACATCTACTTTGACTACGAGAAATGGGGCCAGCGCAAAAAGGAGGGTTTCACCTTTGAATACCGCTACCTGGAAGACCGGGACCTGCAGTGATGCCCTGGGGCCAGCAGGGGGTGCCAAGTTTTCCTTCCAGAGACAGCTGTGGTGGTGTGCTGGGGGCAGCGGCAAAGGAAGACCCACCTACCCCTCACCTCTCTTCATCTTCCCCCCCAGATCACAAGCGGGGTGGGAGGGGGCAAGCCGCATGTTTAAAAAACGAATGCATGCAAGTTTTAAAAATGACCGCAGGATGGAGGAGGAGGGGCAGCGGCAGTGGCAGGCTTCTCCTCTGCCTTTTCCCTGCTCTCTTCTGCCTGTGAAGAGGTCAGAAACGGGGAAACGCCCTTCATGCGCACCAGGTTTGGGTGCCAGAATGGAGATTAAAAGGAAAAAAAAAAGAATTTGAGAATCCCACCAAAAGAGTGACTTCCCCCATTCTACATTTTGTGTGTGTGTTCTAAATAAGAGCATTTCAGCCCTGTACTTATTTGCAGCAAACACAAAACACCCAACTGCCCTTTTGCCAGCCCTCCCCTTTTTTTTTTTTTTTTTTTTTGGTGCAAACTCCATCCCGTTTGGCTGTCATCAGATGCCCAATGTGACCTTTACAATATCAGGTCCCATGAACCTTATGGTGACCATTTTCCGACCCCTCGTCCACTTGCCACTGCTGAAAATGGCAAATTGGCAAAAAATAATAGGATTGCAAATTTGGGAGCATCAACCTCAGGTTACAAAGTCTCCCAGTGACCAGAGAAATTCTGGTGGATTGCCCGTCAGCTTTTGGCTGCCATAATTTTGACTTGCTTTTTCTGCAAGTTGTAAGGAGACCCCTATGCCCTTAGTTGTCCTCATTTGGAAGAGTCCCTTTCCTGACTGGAACAATGATGTTAGGATTCTACGTTCTCCCCCGTCCCCAACACTGCTTTTCCTTTCCAATATTGCCACCATAAATTTGATAAGAGCTTGTATCTAATCTGCTGCTCCTCCCACAGGAAGACACCCCCTTCCCCAATAAGACTTGCAATTTTTTCCTAATTGGAAAGGGAGACATTTGGGAAAACTTGTGGGGGGGAGGTGGGATCGATCTCTCCTCAGCCAGCCCCCTGAACTGGAGCATCCTGCCCACGCCGCTGTTAAGATATTTTTTCGTAAGCCTATTTTCATTTTGGAAAATATTTATGAATAAATAGTTTTATATGAGTGTTCTTCTTCTGTTGTACAGGGAAGGGAGACAAAAACCACCAAACCTTGGGGGTGGGAGAAAGGACTCCATAATCTTTTGGGATATGAGCTGTGAGCCAGAACGACACATAATATATTCAAGCTCTGTCTGAAGGCTCCCTGGAAAATATAGGTAGTCCCTGACCTATGACCACAATTGAGCCTAACATTTTCTGTTGCTAAGTGAGATAGTTGTTAGGTGAATTTTGCCCTTTCTTGCTACTGTTATATGAATCACTGCAGTTAATAGCACAGTTGTTAATGAATCTGACTTTGCTTGTGAAAAGGTCACAAGTAATCACATGACCTTGGGATACTGCAACCATCATAGATATGAATCGGTTGCCAAATGTTTGAATTTTGATTATGTGACCATGGGAATGCTGCAATGGTCGTAAGTGTGAAAAATGGTCACAAGTCACTTTTTCAGTGTTGTTGTAACTTCAAACAGTCGCTAAATGAACTGTTGTAAGTCAAGGACTGCCTATATTGCCTCCAGTGCTATCCTTTTGAGCCCATTTAAGGGCTGGAAGCCACATTCTCTGTAGATGAAGTATGCATGTGGTGGTGATGATGTCACCTTTATCAAACCTACTTAGAAGCCAAAACCAAGAAAATTTATTTTTATAAATATGGCTAGAAGTAAATTTCCTTGGCATGCTTTCCAGCCACATGCCAATTTTTGACAGTTTGTAATACTCCAAAATAATATAACTTATGGCTGACCAGGACAATTTAATATATTAAAAGGGAAATGTTTATTTGGATAATGAAGAAGCAGCCAGATACAACATGAAGCAAATTGTGGCTACTTATTTCACAATCAATTCTAGGGGAATACTGCAGTAATCTGATCACAGACAGTAAATCATGACTGTTTCCAGTACACAAAGTGTGCTAAACTTTTAAGTCATGAGTTGCAAACCAGTTTCTCACAGTGGAATAAGCCAATCAAAACTGTGTGACTATTGTTCAGGAAGTATCCTTGTAATATGTGGCCTTGAAATTTCAAGTCATGGACAATCTGCACAATCCTGTTTTTATGTAATTTGGCTAATTAGCACATCATAACCTTTCTTACATCACTTAGCCTGCATTACTGTGAAGTACTCCAGTCTTTCACATCTAGAGAATATAACATTATAAAATGCTCTTATTATAGGGATAAATCTTCTTAGTGGTCCAAAATCATTCTCGTGCTCATTTCCCTAATGGCAGAAGATCACATACAAAGACGAGCACTGAATTACAACAGCAGGAAACTGGCAATACTAATTTTCTTAACTAACTGGACCACGTACAAAAAACGGAAGAATGATCCCTCCAGGATCTTCCACCATTCATTCTTGAAGAACTCAATGTATCCCAGGTTTGGTGCTTTTAATTAATACCTTGGTCCATCTCTTAGGGCAGTAAACTAATATTTTGAGACAGATGTACATGGCACTGCCTCAATTCTCCATACTGCGTGAGGTGGATTTGCTGCTGCTGCTGCTATTTCTGACTTTTAAAATTAAATTCAGAATCATCCACGTGGTGCCTTTTAAAAACTTTTTTATTTTCCTTCAGGAAAGCTATAAAGATTTAGGCAAGTTACTAGGTCAGGAAATGGTATCCTTTATCAATCCAGCTTTTATCTATTTTCTGGCAATTCAAGGCAAACAGCAAAAATAGATTTATTAATTGCTTGGCTGATTTTTCTGCTCAATATTGTGTTCCAAGGACTGATAATAATTGAGTAAAAGCTGTCCTAGAAGCTATATGACATTTTTGGCCAGGAATTCTATGAAGCATTTTGCACTGAACATTTTCAGCTGAAGAAATTGGGTTTGACTAACCAGATTTCCTGCTTTACACCCACTCAATTCGACTGTCTCTCACTACTCTCTTTCTTGCCAGCTGAGGGTTGAACTGTGAATTGTAGCCACGTTTCCTTTCATCCATTTCCTCTTCTTCCTCCTGGAGTGGACCCATTCCAGATCTCTGGGCAAGAAGAGATTTCGTTCGAGCTCGTTCTGCCTGCTCACGCTGCAACCTCTCCTGGCGGAGCTGTTCTAGAGAGCATGATGTGGAAGAACATGGAGGCCTATGAAGGAAAAGAGAAAATGATAGGAAGGGAAGGGAAGAGATACGGGACCCAGGAAAGTTCATCAATCCTTGCTCTTCTAAATGAGGGGAGGCAAAGATATGGCTTGCCTAAATTGTGCTCTATCAGATATTTTGGGCTCTCCAGGTATGCACTGAACTGTAGGGAAGAAATTACAAGTTGTAGGAGCCATGGTGGTGCAGTGGTTAGAATGCAATATTACAGGCTAACTGCCCACAGCCAGGATTTCGACCCTGGCAGCGCTCAAAAGTTGACTCAGCATTTCATCCTTCCAGGGTCAGTAAAATGAGGACTCAGATTGTTGGGGGGCAAAATGCTGATATTTGTAAATCGCTCAGAGAGTGCTGTAAGGCAGTATATGCTATGTAAGTGCTATTGCTAGTTCTCAACATACAGCCATTCGTTTAGTGACTATTTGAGGGTTACAGTGGCATGGTCGTTTGTTCAAAATTTGGATGCTTGACAAGCGGCGTGCGTCACATGTCCCAAAGTCATGTGATCACCATTTATAACCTTCCCAACTAGCTTCTGACAAGCAAAGTCAGTGGGGGAAGCCAGATTGGGACACAACCCACTTAACTGTCTTGCTCAGCAATGGAAATTTTGGGCTCCACTGTAAGTCGAGGACTACCTGTATAGCTCAGCAGGATAGATCTGCTTTTGTATTCCTAAAGGCCCAGTTAAAACTAGCTGACAATGTCAGGCATAGAATATGAAGTACTGGAGCATTAGAATTCAGCTATTCTTTTAATCGTCTTAACTTCAGCATAGCTGATATTGTCATGCCCTGTGATTCTATAACGGCTACACATAGCTGGCTTTATTCAAGACAAGTGAAAGATGCATCCCAATAAAACACCTAAAACACTGGCCTCACGAAGGCAGTTTGAAAGCTATATACAAAATCTGATCTAATCCTCAAACACCAGTAGGCCCACCCTTCTATAGTCTGCTCTCCAGAGTGATATCTCTTCCAATAACATCAGCCAAAAAATACCCCTCCAGATTCCCTAAATATTAACCTTAGTTTGTTTCTTGCAGATTGATATTCTATCTCAGTGGTTCTCAACCTTTTTAATGCCGCGACCCCCAATGCCGCGACCCCCAAGTCGAGACTACTCAACCGGTCGTAAGTCGAGGACTACTCAACTGGTGCAGCACCGTTTGCAGAATGGGACTTTTGGCAGGCTCAGCAGGGCAGAGACAGCTTGGACAATTCCTATTGGCTTTTGAAAGCCAATAGAATTAGACTCTATTCAAGAGAGTCTATTCTATTAGCTTTCAAAAGCCAATAGAATAAAAGGGAGTAGCACAGCTAAGGAAAGGGGGAAAAAATGGTGGACTGCGTTGTTTGGCGACCCCCGTGAAATGGTCGTTCGACCCCAAATGGGGTCCCAACCCACAGGTTGAGAACCACTGTTCTATCTACATCAAGCAAGGGCTTCAGTTGAGAGTCAACTCAGTTTCTCCCTGCTGCTTCTCCAAAAGTCAAAGCTATCTGGCAAAGAAAGAGCAGTTGACTCGTAGATGCTCTTAAAAAAAAAAAAAAAAAAACCTCCATCACAGTCCCCGAACAACCATTTGCTGCTCGATATTGGCAAATTTTTCTGAGTGCACAACAAAAAGGATACCCACCTAAGTGCTAGGTTCCTTTTGCTTTCTTTGTCCTTTGATTTTCCTTTTTCTTTCTTTTCTTCCTTTTTATGAGAGCACTTCTTCTTGTATAAATATTTCCCCATCTCAGCCAGGGGGTCCAGCCTTCCCTTAAGTTTCTCATCCTTGGCAATGGCTTTGCTCCGATCTGGCAGCTCCTGGTACCAGGGAGCAGAGGTCTGAGACTCTGCTGCACTTTGGCCCAAGTAAGTCAGGATACCTAGAGCTTTTTCCTTTCGTTCCTGTAAGGAATAAAAAGCCAAGGAAATTAGTCATGCTATCCATCCATCCATCATATAATCCTCTCCAACGAAGTATTGCCGTATTCTTCTTCTCTAAAGCAAACTGCTTATCGTGGATTCAGTGGACTGTCTGGGATCCAGTGTAGAATATAATTAATTGATTATAATCCCTCTCTTCTCCTGACAGGTTTTAGTTAACAGTAACCAATAGGCATTGGGCTATCTGGTTTAAAGTACAAGCACCTGATTATTTAGGATACAAAAGTTAGCTGAAGTTGTCTGAAGGTTGAATCACGGTAACAGGACTATTTTTTTTTTATTAGTCTGAGATGTTTCATTACTCCTCCAAGCAGCTTCATCAGTCAGAGCAAGCTAGTTCGGCAGAGAGTCACTGAAATGTACCAATTCTTGCCACAATCTCAGGGATTCCTCTCCAAAATGTGTTGCAATATGTCAGTGAAAACTCTCTGTCATCCAGACAAAGGTGTCTGAAAATTGGATCCAGTTGCCATGATTCAACTTTCAGACACCTTTGCCTGGATGACTGAGAGTTTTCATCGACATATTAGCCTGAAGTTGTTTAGATTATCAGGAAGAAAAAATACATTCAGTGTAAAAAACCTGCTAAATCAGGATTCCATTTAGCAACAACCAGGTTTATTTAATATATTTAAAAGGTCTGTGCCTAAATATTAATGCTACTGTCCATACTTCTTTCTCAGAACCCATAAACAGGAGTCTGCCTATCTCAAAACTCTCAGTGCCCAAGTAGGTAAATGAGAGAAAACAGAATTTTGGCAAACTCCAATCTTTCTTCCCACCATTACCTTTTCCTGCTTCTTCTCCTCCTCGTATTCTTTGTTGCTGACCTCCTGCAACCCCTGAAAGAGGTTAAGATGTCCTGAGGGCTTTTCTGAATCCAAAGAAATAAGGCCTGAGCCACTCTTATCACCTCCTGGAGCTGACAGACGTGCTTTCTTCCGTAACAGTTCAGTCCGGGCCTAGAATCAAAGGCAGGTATTTGTCCAAGGCTCATATTTAGATCAATGCTACTATTTGTCCAAGGCAACATCCTAAATAGCATGTGTGTGTTTCAAGTCAAGAGCAAGTAAGATGGTACTAAAAGCAAATCTAACACATTTGCACCATAGAGTCTACATTTAATTATTGTGCTTAAATAGAATGTGGATAAAGCAGCTATCCTCTAAATTAGACTCCTCCTCAGATAATAGGACTACAGTAATACAATCAAGGACACAAATAATGGCAGATCCTTCATTTTGAAGATTTCCCTTATTATCTTGTATCATTATTCTCTTATGTATCAACAATCACCTTTCCAACTTTTTAATCTCTCGCATCATTCTATTTAATTTACTGCATGATAATTGGCTTCCTGTTGTAGTAAGGATAAATTGTTTCAATTCAGGATATAGACTGTTTCATTAAAGGCAAAGAAAAAAACATTAAAAGAGTATTAGTGTAGGAGAAGTCCAGAAAAAGGCACTTTAATAAATCATGCAGAGCTTTACATCTCATTCAGTGGTTCCCTCCACATTAAATGCCTCAGATGAAAGGTAACAGCAATGGGATCCTCCAACATTAGAAGAATAACAAAAATAGTCCTATGACAACTTGTCAGTTTTCTTCTTTCTTCCACTGATTAAATAACAGCAGCAGATATCCTGATTTCAATCAAATCCCAGATTAAGTAAAATCAATTTTGGCAAAGAATGTAATTATTTGGTTTAAAACTAGGGCCTTTCAGACTGGCTGTTCTTAAATCAGGCTTTTCTCAAATTTAATCCATTCAGGCCAGATGTACAGAAGAATCCTAGGTACTGAATGGTGTTTCACATTCACAATTAGCTGTCAATTACAACCTAGGATAAAACTGCTATCTTTCATAAAGCTCCAAAAACCAGGCACTGTGTTCGAGTCTGAGGCTCCAAGCGTGCCAAGTGATTGGTCTTCTGCATCACTGGAAGACTATTTGTTTTCTCAGCTGCTGTGTATTTTGGCTTGTGTGTGTGTGTGTGTGTGTGTGTGTGTGTGTGTGTATTGTTTTAATTTTATCACTGATCTCCATTCAGAGTGATTGCTGAGATGGATTGAATCATTAGATAAATAAAACTATATCAGGCTTTTCAACAGATGGCCCACATTATTAGAATATCTTCCCAGCAGAAATGTAAAGAAATCTAACTCTTGGAATATATAAGAACACCCCAAATATAACTTTGAGACTCAAGTCATCTTTCTGATTTGTTTAAATGCATTCTTTTTTAACTGAGGATGCTTCTGTATTACAGAACAGAGAAAAACTAAACAAGGAGGCAGGCAATGGAATTCCACTGTTGTCAAAACCAAAGTGCCTGCCACCTTGCTCAGATTTTTTTCTAAATGTCTGCATAAAATTCAGATTTGGCTTGATTTCTTTATTCATGCAGGGAGATGAACGTAGGATCATTCTGTATCCAGAATGAACAAGGAGATAGATCCAGACAGAACATTTAGATCCCATATAAAGCTTTTTGTTAAATGTAATCAAAGAGTTATTTTGACCTCACTAGGGAGGTAGTTCTGTCCATTTGGAAGCACTTAACTTTTATGGATTTGATTAGATGCAAAGTATTACCATAACCGCAAATTCGACTTAAAAAGAAATAAATTTGACATTCATTTCCCTCCCAGAACTGAGATATTTCCTCCAGAAAAAAAAAACAAAAAAAAAACCAGGACAGAAGCCGCGTGCATAGTTTTTACTACTGCGACTTGGAATGCAGCGCATGCGCAATAATTCTAAATCCTACAGTACGGTCCTCTTTGCGCATGCCTTTTCATGACTATTTACCTCCTGTTCAGCTAACAGGACTCGGGCCTCCCTCTTTTGTCGCTGAACTTCAGCCTCTGCTTCGTCCCGTCGTACGCGAGCCACATTGTCTTTATTGCGGACATGCCACGACTTCTTAGGAAGAATATTCATTCCCGTAGCTTATGACAATGCTAGAATCGCCACAAACGTCCTCCGTTTCCTGAATCGTTCCTCACCGGCTGCCATCGAGTTCCGCCCCCTTGCTCTATTTAGGGGCGTTGCCGTTGCCTCCGTACTGTACGTGCTTCATAGCATCCACTCATGTTTGCCTGCGCGAACTCAGGCGGCCTGTGCATCCGGAGCTGCTATTTGATTGGTTTGGACCAGTGTTCTTCAAACTTGGCCATATGCTGGCTGGAGAATTCTGGGAAATGAAGTCCACACACATTAAAGTGGCCAGGTTTGGAAAATCATTGGTTTGGATTGACCGTACTAAGAATTGGGAATGATATTTGTTGAATGCTGAAAAATCTGTGATTGTGAGATCAAGAGTGGTATTTGTTTTTTAAAACACACTACTATTTCTCCCTACATGCTAAATTAGTGTCACTTGCAGCACTGTGTGGAAGGGAAGACTGGACACCAGTAACTCTTTTCACTGCACAGTTGGACTACTGCAATGCACTCTATAGGAGCTGTCTTAGCCTACAGCAGTCCTTTTAAAGGAAGTGTTTCCCAACTGTAGCCATTTTAAGATGTGTGAATTTCAGCTCCCTGAATACCCTAGCCATTTTAAGATGAATGTGGCTGGTGTCAAAGCAGTAATATCCTATATTTACAGCGTTGAAGTGTTTCATTAGTCGGAACCGTGAGAGCTGGGATATTCTGGGAATTGAAGTCCACATCACTTTAAATGGCTAAGATTGGGAAACATCGCTTTAATGGCAAAAGCCAGTTTGGTGTAGCGCTTAAGGTGCTGGCCTAGAAATCAGGAGGCAGTGAGTTCTAGTTCTGCCTTAGGCATGAAAAACCATCTGGGTGACTTTCGGCCAGGCACTACCTCAGCTCAACTCACCTCAGAGGGTTGTTGTGAGGAAAATAGGAACAGGAAGAAGTATTAGGTGTATTCACTGCTTTGAGTTACTTATAAAGAAATACAGATAAAATTTAAAAAAATCTTAAAAACTCAATACGTTTTTGTCAACCATGGAACATCTGTGCCTCAGGTCCCTAACTGGCCACCAATACATTTCCAGAGGCAGTTGAGAGTTTCAGTACTGCTTTCTCCTAGTGGAATTAACCCATCTAGCACATGTTTCTGGGGGGAAAATTGTTAGTGGTCCAGAGCTTATAAATTTTACTTTTATGTTCTACCCCTTATTTTATAGAATAGCATTCCTCTCGAGACTGGGCTAGTACCTTCCCAGAAATTGAGGAAAACATCTCTTCCAAAGACCATATGGAGAACAATGAGCCTGTATCACTGAGGGTATCGTTTTGCTGAATTTATGGGTTTTATGTTTTGTTTTTACCATTTTCCCAGTGTTAACGAGCAGAAGACTATGTTGATCACTGTTATACACAAATACAATCCGGACAACTGCAAGACTGAGCAAAGATTTGGCTTTCTCTATCCATTTGCTGTTGCCTAATAGTCTTCTGCAATTTTGTAGCTCAAAATTTAGGTATTTATGGCCACTATATCAAAAGAGAATACTGTAGCTTGAAATGTATTACTGGATGCATAGTGTTTTGCAGTACTGTAGTAGAAATATGTTTATTTCATCCAACCAACCTCATGCTATAGAATAACATGGCTTTAAAATTTAAATATTATTTAAATTATGTACTACAGTACTTGGATCATCAACTTTTAAATATTTGAAATTTATGTTTAAGCCTAAGAAAGAAATGCAGTTAGTTCAAATCAGTGACCTATTTAGCCAAGCATTCTTCCCTCCACATCTGACTAACACTGACTGCTTACAGGTGGTGCTCAACTTACAACCATTTGTTTAGTGACCATTCAAAGTTATAACAGCACTGACAAAAATGACGTACAACCAATACTTGCACTTACAATCACAGCATCCCCACAGTCAAATGATTAAAATTGGTGCAGTTGACAATTCACATGTATCTATGACAGGTGTCAAACTGCCGGCCCACAGGCCGGACATGTCATTGGGAAACCACGCTCACCCCATTGCCGGCAATGGCAAAAAAGCTCCGATACGTTGCACGACGTCACGTGACATCGCGAGTTTGATATGTCTGATCTATGACAATTGCAGCTTCCTGGGGTGCTGTAATCACCATTTGCAACCTTCCCAGCCGGCTTCTAACAAGCAAAGTAAATCGGGTTGCTTAACAGCCATGTAATTAACTTAACATCTGCAAGTGATTTACTTAACAACCATGGCAAAAACGTTATAAAATTGGATGTGATTCACTTAACAATTGCCTGGCTTCACAACAAAAGTTCTGGTCTCGGTTGTAGTATAAATTGAGGACTACCTGTATTAGAGTTATTCTGTCATGATTTGGTAATCCTTAATCTATACAGTACTGCAAACAAGTCTATAATTGTCCATCCATTATTGTTGGGCGATACAAAAGATACTAATCTGTCCAAAGTCACATATAGTGAAACCAAGACAAAGATTAAACTAGAACAATCATCCTCCAGGAACAATTTAATTCAATGTAGATACTTGGATAGAAATCCTTTGTTGGATTTTCTTTCATAACAATGCATGCAATGACAAATTATGTCTTCAAATAGCAGGAGCTTTCTAGTTTATGAATTGGCAACAATTTAAAGAATAATTTATTCAGTATTCTGTTATTTTACCACCAGATTTTGATTTATATGGTAATGCATTTTTAAAAGACTCATGTATAAATCCATCCATGAATAAGCTAATTGTGAAAATTAAAACAAAAATTTCAAAGGATTGGCTTATGTACAGGCCCCACACTTTTCATAGTATTTTATTTAAAAATTTGAGGATTGGTTATCCATAAATCAGCTTATATGTGAGTATATTGTATATGGTGTCTTTTAATCAGTGACAGTTTTTCTTGTTCAGTCTAATTCCTGATGAAATTATTAATTTTACTTAAGATACAAACGATCATTTTAAGGAGTTCCAGTTTGAGAATAGCAATAAGCACTTAGACTTATATACCGCTTTACAGACCTCTGTAGGCGGTTTACAGAGTAAGCATATTGCCCCAATAATTTGGATCCTCATTTTGCCAATTTCGGAAGGATGGAAGGCTGAGTCAACCTTGAGCTGGTGAGAATCTAACTGCCAAACTGCAGGCAGCTGGCAGTCAGCAGAAGTAGCCTGCAGCATTGCATTCTAACCACTGTGACACCATGGCTCAAGAATGCTTGCTCGAGTGGTCTTCTTTCTAATTATTCAGCTGATTTGACCCAACCTCGCTTCTGAGTCCAGACAAAGTCAAGCAGCTGCTAATTCATTAGAGCTAAATGGATATATAATATAATATAATTTCCCCATATTTAATCGTTTTTGCCTTCTGTTTTGTTAAAAATTATAACCGAGCATCAATTTTCAGAAGAACTTGGAGGCCAGCATAGTACATTGCTGCAGTGCAATTTAAAAACCATAACATAAAAGTTATTTATTTATTTATTTATTAAACTTATATGCTGCCCGTCTATCATATCTTGAAGTATTGCTGAATAAGATGACAAAGGTGTATTCTCGTAGACATTTCTTGTCTTTCACTGGCTCAATTCTGAAATCCGTTTCACGAGGAAGAACTTGTCCTGACCCTCCTGAGAAAAAGAGAACATTGAAAGCAATGAAGTCTCTCACAATTCGATAGTGGATAAAGCAGCTAAGCATGCATAGACAACCACAGATATGGATGAACCTGAGGTGGGGGGGAGAGGGCTTCCCCTTTCTGATATATATCCCCCTGGGTTTGAGTGGGGCATCAGCCATAGCCTAGGGAAGAGGGGCAAGATGGTAATTGTCATCCGTGAAACTCATAACACAGGGGTCTTCAAACTTGGCTCTTTTATGACTTGTGGACTTCAACTCCCAGAATTCCTCAGCCAGGCACACTGGGAGTTGAAGTCCACAAGTCATAAAAGGGCCACGTTTGAAGACCCCTGCTCTAACAGATGCAGATAATTGAATTTCGGAACCTAAGACTGAAGTTGGGCATTTAGGCTTGTTACTGTTCTACCAGCTTCCTGCCATTTGCTGCTCCGCTCCTTGTGGAGCTGGTGTGGTGGGTAAAGCATCAGGCTACAAACTGTTAGACTGCTAGAAACTAAAGACTATGAGTCTTCATCCCAGTTTAGGGACAAAGTCAGTTGCGCGACCCTGACCCGGTCATTCTCTCTCAACCCTAGGAAGGAAACAATGGTAAACCACTTCTGAAATCTTGCCAAGAAAACTGCAGGGACTTATCAAGGGTCAACACTGACTCAAAGGCAGAAAAAAAAAGCATGAGTAAACCAGAGCTTTGTAGAATAGCATGCTGCACAAATCAGATTATTTTAACTAATTCAGCAAACAAGTTTTAAAATCCCAGTGTAGTGTCATGTATGAATTTAGCATTCTTTTCTCCCTCCCATCATTTCATTGAAAAAAAAAATTTTAAGTACAGGAAGCTTTGAATAGAATAGAGCTAGAAGGGACCTTGGAGGTTTTCTAACCCAATCCCCTGTTCATGCAGGAGATCCTATACCATTTCAGACAAGTGGCTGTCTAGTCTCTTCTTAAAAATCTCCACTGATAAAGCACCCACAACTTCTGAAGGCAAGTTGTTGCATTGGTTAATTGTTCTCACTGTTAAGAAGTTTCTCCTTAATTCCAGGTTGCTTCTCTACTTGATTAGTTTCCATCCATTTTTTCTTGTCCTGCCTTTTAGTGCTTTAGAAAATAAGTTGATCCCCCTCTTGTTTGTTGCAGCCCCTCAAATACTGGAATACTGCTCTCATGTCACCCCTAGTCCTTCTTTTCTCTAGACTGGCCATACCCAAATCCTACAACCGTTCTTCATATGTTTTATTTTCCAAGTCTTTAATCATCTTAGTTGCTCTTCTCTGCACCTTTTTTCACAGTCTCAACATCTTTTTTGTAATGCGGTGACCAAAACTGTATGCAGTATTCCAGGTGTGGTGTTACTGACGTTTTATAAAGTGGTACTAATATTTCATGTGACTTTGATTCTGGAAGCATGTCTTTAAGAAGATAGATAATTTCCCTAGCTAGCTAATATTGTTTCCTCTAAATGGCT